ATTTTTGGTGTTGTCTCTGTGGACGGTGAAGAATCACAATGCTCTGTGTGCCCTGGACTGTGTGGCAAATGCAGGTTGCAGCGTGTGTGTTACATGAGGATCTTCCACAATTTCAGAATGCACGCCAGAGCTGTAGGGGAAACTTGGTAACTTGCCCATTATTCTCTGCTTTTAGCCAGAGTTAAACAGACTGATGGGTCTGGTAGCCAACAACTTGGCAACTTCCCCTCCTTCTCACCTCGTGAGATTAAGGGCTGTGAAAAGAAATCTAGTCTAACTCCAACAGAAATCTGTCTCTGTTAAGTGTTTTACCTTCTGTAAGTAGAGATGGTAGAGCCAAGATTTTTCTTTTGGTAATTTCCCTGTCTATAAAGTGAGACCAGAGGGATATCTGTTCCCTGTTACCTTTTTGGAGAATTCATAACATTTGAAGATCAAAAAATTGAATGATAAATATGAATGGCTTTTCAATTCTGTGGGCTTTGTATCGTTTGGCTTCAGCTTGTACTGCAAGATGAATTTGTAAACAAAACAAAATTGGATTGTCTGGAAAGCTAAAGTTCTAAAATATGGAATGTACTGCCTCTAATTTTTCTTTGTCTTCCTCTCATTGGCATTTTTTTCTCTCCCAGGTTTCTTAAGAATAATGTTTTTTAAAGGAGGCTTTTTGCCCATCAAGAATAAAAAGAAATAAAACCAAAGGGTTACCGGACTTAAGCCCCCACAGTCACTGTGCGCCATCCCTGAGCAAAGTCCGCCTCTGAGGACAGTGCCCCTGCCCCAGTGGCAGGCCTCGCTCCTCCCAGGGCCTTTGCTTCTGGTTAAGGGGACGTTTCATTACTGGCTGGCCTGAATAGGGGGTGGTCTGTCTTTCTTTCTCTCCTTTTTTTTTTTTTTTTGATTAAAAAAATAAAACCAAACCAGAATTTATTGAAAGCAGGTAACTTCCGGTAACTCAGCTTAGAGATACTGTTACTCAGGGCAACAGTATGTACAAAAGTCTCCGGAAGAGGAAAACGAAACAACCTGAAAACAATTCGACTTGAAAAGGATTGAATCACTAGAATGATCATATTGCAGAATAACACAAAATGCAACGAAGAGCCACCCAAGCCTGAGGGTAAGAACTCTACTTCCCAGATTCTTGGATCACAGCCTATGACTTTTTGGGGCACAGAGGCTGGCTTCAGCATGAGGATCTCACCACTAACTGCATGTAACGTATCCATGCATTGGGCAGACGCTAAACACACAGAATGAGGCCACCAGACAGAGTACACATGAACCCATGAGATCGGTGCTCTCTGCAGAGTCTGTAGACCTGGCAGGGGACCATGGATAGCTTAGAGGTACTTACTCTGCAGCTGGTCACATAAGACCGTAGACTGGTCTAAGCCCTACAGTTCCCTTATCCAATTGCCCACTAACCAGTGAGAGAGAGGAGCAAGACTTGGAAGCTGCTTCCAAACCAATTTTTGGTCTACAGTAAACAAGGATAAACATAAAACACCATTCCACAGGCCACCTTCAAAGGAACTAGTGGGCAAAGAAGGTAAGAGATCCCAAAGCCCCATTTAGTAACCCCCACTGAAGGAGGGGGATGGGTGTGAGTGGTGAGATACCCTGTTCTGCTGCTGTGGGCACCCCTGTGACCTGTCCTGCTGTACCATCCGGGCCTTGATTCGTACGGTTCCCCCTACTTCCTAGATGTGCACTCTCATGGCCCAGAGCTCTCACCTTTCTGAGCCTGATCCTCCTGGACTCCTGCATACACAGAGTGGAAATGCCAGATCCTGAGGGTTCTCTGAGGAGGGTGAGGTGGCCGTGTTTTTGAGAACATGGGGTCCTTCCATGCCATGTCAGTTGCAGGTGGGGCAGGCCAGAGGATGCTGAGTTACAGGAGGCAGAGAGCAGTCAGTCAAAGAGCAGGGAGGAGAATACAGCTGGGAAAATGATGAGAAGTTTCCATTGCATGGACTCAGCAGGGGATTTCTGGGGTCAGCTCGGTTATGAGGCATAAACAGCAAAGCTTTAAAACTGATGTGAGAACAGTGTGTCTCCCCTTTTCCAAATTCCCCAGAGGAACCTACTCCCTGCTCTAGAACTTCACATCAAAGAAACAATGCACCTGATGGGAAGAAGTCTTTTCAGGACCCCAGAAGTGCCCATTGGTGGCCCATCAGAACAAGTCTGGCTGCTGCTCGTTTTTGGGTCTGCAGATTTGGGCAAGATGGCTAGAGGGCTGGAGGTTTCCCAAGGCCTCTAGATGCCGTTGTGCAAAATCAATCCTCCACACATCACTGGCCAGTAGTAGTATGCTCGCTCCACCACCCACTGGTAGTGAGGAAGATCTTTTTGCTGTCAGAGAGGGCTGCCATTCACTAACATGCTGTAAGTCCGTTCCCTGGCTGCTAGAGTGCACAGGCGAGGGGGTCTTGAAGACCCTCATGTCAAACTTGAGTGTCAGGCCTGCAGTTGGTTTCACCATAGATAACCCTTGTTGCCCTGCAGCTGGGGTAACTGTTATTGTGTGTCTTGACCTTTTGCTCTTCCTCTTCCTTGTCTGAACTGAGTTCCCTTCTTGGGTAAAGGATGACCTTTATGTTTATTTTCTTTTTCCACTATCCTGTCACTCACGTGCACAGGAGTCCCACCTTATCTGTGGTTTCACTTTCTGAGTTTTCAGTTATCAGAATGGGTTGCACCAGAAAGCACAAGCCTATACAAAGACATCAGCAAGGGAGTCCTTATATATATAAGGGAAGAAACAGTTTATCATCTAGTCAGTACAATCTGCGGTTTCAAGCATCCACTGTGGGTCTTGGAATGTATCCCTGCAAAAAGGCACTGGGGCAGGGGGCACTTCTGTGTACTTCAAAACATGTACACGATGAAAACATACAGTGTTATCTGTCAATCTGAAAACAAAATCACCATGACTTCTGGGCACTGTAGTCCTACCTGTGGACTGGCTGCCTGACTGTGGAGCGTCCTCGTATTGGACATTAAGGGACTGTCCTAAGATGGCGACTTCTCATTTGGTAGCCTGTGGCAGCTGAGTTTGAATTTGGTGGCGGCCGTCGCGTGTTAGGGTAGCCATAGAGCTGCTCCCTCTCAGCCACAGCAGCAAGCACAGTTTCACTTGACCCATTTTACACCTGTTGTCTCCACCCAAGCACCATGGCTCCAGCTAGGAAAGGCGGCTGTTGGGTGGCCAAGACCAACTCGTTACAGAGCCAGAAGCTGACCTCCTTTCTTAAGGATTTCAACCGTGAAGTGCAAATACTGTGGAAGCCAATTCAGTCAGGCAGAACCTCTCCCAGAAGATGGATAAGCTGCATGACCAGGCCACTCAGCGGCTTCCTGAGGCACAGTGTGACATGAACTGGTAATGCACAGACTGTGCATTCGTAGCTGTTTCGTGAGTAATATGCACAGTGCGTGTCTTGGGTATTTTAAAGTACATGAGAGGGTTGTTTCAGCAGCTGATGGGATGCCAAATGTTTGACTTTTTATTATTCCAGCCCTTCAGATTTCCCCAGAATTGTCACCTTCTAGAGCGTGTGTCTTCCCAGTGCGTTCCGGAAATTCTCTATACCACTGCCGTGTTGCTCAGAAAACAACAGAGCTTTCAGTCAGTTCAGGTAACCTTAGAATCTGCGCTGATGCCTCAGAAAGGAAGAAAGGCCAGGACGGCTTTGGCTTGGGTGGCAGTCTTATTTCTCCCTTGGTTTCACTTCCTTTTCCATTTTGGTGGCTTCCCATTTCATCCCATAGCCTCTTCTCAGAGGCTGTCCCACCCCTCCTGCCCCCAGCTCCATTCTTCCTACTCTCTGGCCCATTTGTGTCCTCAGAGGTCTGGCTGCTGCCACTGCACCTGCCTCAGACCCAGTGTCACCTCACCAGGGCTTCAGCCAGCCTGGCCTTCCAGCTGCCACCCAGCAGCTCAGCTCAGCAGAACCTTCTGGCCCAGACTTTCACTCCCAACTCCCACCCAGGGGCAAATGCAGAAGCCTCTGCTGGTGCAGCCAACACGGAGTGGGGGCAAGGGGAAGAGGAAAAGCAGCAGCTTCCTGTGCTTCCCAGCTCAGAGCATTGGTAAGAGTGGGTGGAATTTGGCATTCTGCTTCTACCATTTTGAATGAATTGGCCTATTCTTTATACTGTCACCCCTCCCTTCCAAATCATTCATTCTGGTGTGCAGCCCATTTCTGTCTGTTTTCTAATGATATGACCAGAGCTGCCATGTAAGCTTGTGCCCTGCACAAGGATAGATACCCCACTGGGGAACGAACAGGACCAAAATCCACTCTGTGTTCTGCTGGCCAAGCCAGGTGACCTGGCCTGGGCTGCGTCCTCCCAGAAGAAGGGTTCATTTTTCCAGTTTGCACATGTGCTATTTGTGGGTTAGCTGAGGCCCTGCTCATGTCTTCGGTTGGTTCACAAACCAGAAACAGAACAAATGGCCAGAAATTAGTGTTGTAATCAAACTAGATTTACAACCAAGGCACGCTGAGTGGCATTATGGGTTTTATCCTGCTGCATGGCAAGGCGTTCATGCATGGGCTGTGCTCAGTGGCCTTTTTACTCAGCCATGCCAACCATGGGGAAGCAGGAGGGGAGCTTGTTGGAGAAGGCGGCCTCAGTGAGAGCCTTGGTGCATTCCCCTGAAGCCACAATTTGGGACTTCTCCCTCAGCAGGGGTCCCCACGTCCCCTCAGCAGGGGTCCCCACAGTCTGAGTGTTTTTCAGAAATCTTGGGTCCAAGGGACCCCAATCTTTTTTTTTTTTTTTTTTTTTTTGAGGTAGAGTCTCACTCTGTCGCCCAGGCCAAAGTGCAGTGGTGTAATCTCGGCTCACTGCAACCTCCGACTCCCAGGCTCAAGTAATACTCGTGCTTCAGCCTCCTGCCTAGTAGCTGGGACTACAGGTCCGCGCCACCAAGCCAGGCTAATTTTTGTATTTTTAGTAGAGATGAGGTTTTACCTTGTTGGCCAGGTTGGTCTCGAACTCCTGACCTCAAGTGATCCACCTGCCTCAGCCTCCCCAAGTGCTGGGATTACAGGTATGAGCCACTTATGCCCAGCTGGTGGGACTCCAAATCTTCTGTCCAGACCCCGGGGTCTGAACTCATATTTAACTACTGAAAGGCATCAGCATTTGCCCTCTGGTTGAACTTGACCTTCTTACTGAGAACCAGCCGGGCAGGCATCAGATGCCTCAGGCTCCAGAGGAGAAGCTGGTGGGCAAATAGATCAGGAGCAACTGCTTTCACCATCAGGGATGAAAGTTGAAGGCCAAGAACACTTCCTTGTCCTGTGGTGCAGGGGTTGGGATGGAGGAGCGAGTCTTATAAATGGAAGAGAACTAAGTGTTGGGATTTAAAGGAAGGACATTTGCCGCCTGCCCCCAAATGCCCCCAAATCCTCGAAAATTCCACAGATTCCCTTGGCTTAACTCCTCTCACAGAGGTAAGCTAAGGTAGTCAGTCTCACTGTAGCTGCGGTGAATTCGTTTAATGATCTTGGTTTCCTAACTGCTAGATAATCCAGTGGAGCCAGAAAGTTTTGGTGGATTGAGGGAACCTACAGAGGTTGGGTAGAGATGTATTAGGAGTTGAATTGTTTCCCCCCGCAAAAATTCATGAAGTTGTAACCCCCAGGACCTCAGAATGTGGCCTTCTCTGGAAATAGGGTTGATGTAATTTGGGAAGGTGAGGTCATCCTGCAGTAGTAGGGTGGGCCCCTAATCCAGTATGACTGATGGCCTCATGAAAAGGGAACAGAGCCCTACAGTTTACACAGTGGTTTTATGCACATTTTTCTTATCCATTTCTGTAGGGTAGGCTTTATCATACCTGTTGATTTCACTCAAGTTTATTGCTTTTTTGGCCTACCATCTGTTAGCCTCACTTTTTCTAACTGCAGGAACCCCTTCTGCCAAACACAGCGTATTTTGGAAAATGACCCTACCCCATTCCAACATGTGCTTGTGTTGAGCGGCACCAATCTTAATCCTCCTGCCCAGCCCTAGCCTAAAACAGTGTGTGTGCTGGTTGGACTCTCCCTGTGAGTCCCCAGCTAATCTCATCTCTGCCCTTCCGTGCCCCAGGAGGCTGTACACATCAGACTGCACTTCCAGAGCCCCCGGCCTCTGGTTGGGTTCGGCCATTGCAATGAGCATCCTCAAAAAAGACCAGAGAGCTGGAGGAGAGAGAGTTTGGGGCTTCATTCCCCAACCCACCCCACTACAGTCCCACCAGGGGCCACGGTCACAGCTCTCACAAGGAGCATCCTCTGCCTGGGGAGCAGCTCTTGCTGAACTATGATAACAGTATTCTCTTTTACCCTTCACCTCTGGTGGAGGTAATGCTTCCCTCTGTGACACGTCTCTGGACACTTCACCATCCCATACTGGTTTCCTCAGTCCTGATTATCCCCCTACAGATGCTGTCTTTGTTGAATTCATTTAAACCATATTGAGTGTACCATTTAGTTCTTGCCAGGGCTGTTAGCTATGGCTTGGCTTAGAGGCTTATCCTGATGGTCTTGGTGATTAGGCCCAGAGGTGCCACATGATCTAACGTACGTCAGAGTCCTCCTGTGACTTCCTTTTCCTTTTAGTAACCAGAGCAAGGAGAGAGACGCCCATTCTTATAGAGTGATGATGTGTGGAGGATACGAGCTTTGTGCTGGCAGCCATGTCCCTACCTCATGGATAAAATCATTCACATCTTGGTTTTGATCTCTCAGGTCCCCACACTGCCCTGATTCCCACCTTTAAAATAGCATCCCACTTTGTGCTTGAGCCGGTTTACATAGGTTTCTGTTACCTACAACCATTAAGAGATAGTTTTTCAGCTAGGGAATGGGAGAGTCAAAGCTCAGACTCTAGTCATCTGCCTCCAAAGCCTGTACTTTTAGCAGATGCTCCATATTCATAACTGTGGCCAGATACCTCCCCTGCTATTGGCCACAACTGAGAAAACCCCTCCTACTCCTGTGAGGAAAGGCACCTGTGTCTAGGTATTTCCTGTAGCATGATGCAGAGGTAATTCATTTTGAATAATAAGATCATACACGAAAAGTTCTGTATTAACTAAAAGTTGACCAATTGAATCGTATCTTTAAGGTATAAGAAGAGCTCTTTGCTGGAAGGAATCTTGTCATCAAGCCGTTAGTAAAGCAGAGACCCTCTGTTTGTCCTGGTAAATCCAGATTTTCAGTCCTACTGGTGGTGTGTGAGCTCTTTGTTAACTAAACAATTTGTAAGAATTGCTCCACCTCCCAAAGAATTTCCCAGCTTGTCATTGACGCAAGAATTTGCCTCAATGGATCCCCAAAAACAAGGTGCCCTTGGAGGTACTCTGTCAAGAAAAGGGGAACTGTCAAATCTTGTCAAGATGCTACCCAAAAGTAACCAGAGAAAGTTCGTGGGGGGCTCTAGCCATGAGATCACAACAAGCTAACTAAAGAGATGGCTTCAGGATAGGGTGGATGTAACCTAGATCAGAGGAGTTATGTACAGAAACAGTTGTTCAGGCAATGCAGGAACAAGGCCTCCTCTCTTTACCTGTTCTTTGTAGGGTGTCTTCCCCATAGGCTCTCCCTGTGAGCCCCCATCTCATCTCATCTCTGCCCTTCCATGCCCCAGGAGGCTATACGCATCAGACTGCACTTCCAGAGCCTCTGGCCTCTGATTGGTTTTGGCCACTGCAATGAGCATCCTCAAAAAAGACCAGAGAGCTGGAGGAGAGAGAGGCTGGGGCTGTGGAATCTCTTTAGCCAGGCAATACATTCTTTTTCCAGCTAATTCTTTTGATTTTGCAACTCATGCTGATTGGCCTCCCATGCCCGCTTGACGGTGTGAGCCACATTATCTACAGCCAGCCAGGAGAGGCTGTCTTTATTGAAGATCAGGAAATCTGCCCGTCATATGCATACTGCAGAAATCCTGTGGTGCTTCCATCCTCCAGCAGCTCACAGCCAATCATTCTCTGGTAAGTGTGAGACCCTGGAACACACATGCAAGCCCAGGGGGGTCCACACAGGGACAGAGGTGGACTCTCAAGTGCTGGGAGTGGGGGCATGGCTGGAAGCATCCTCTGGTCTACAGTATGTCACCCTCCAGGCCTGCCGTGGCATTGCTGAGTCCCCAGGAGGTCCCTCTTGTGGAAGCCCACCTGACAGCAAGGTTGTTTTTTAAATTTTTTGTTGTTGTTGTTCAAATAGCTTTAGGGATACAAGTAGGTTTTGGTTGCATGGATGAATCGTGTAGTGGTGAAGTCTGGGCTTTTAGTGTATCTGTCGCCCGAATCATGTATGTTGTACTCGGTAGGTGATTATTGTCACCCCTCGCCCACCTTCCACCCTTACCCTTCCTGAGTCGCCAGTGTCCATTATACCACTCTGACAACAGGTATTTGTGAAGTACCTACTGCATGCCAAAGGAGTGTGATGTGTGATAATTCCTGCCTTGGGAAGTTATCCTGTAATAGGAATGATTGATTGATAAACTGTGGCTATTTGAGTGCAGTGGAGGAGGGAGAGAGAGGCAGGAGCCAGAAATATCACTGGGAAAGTTAATGTCATTATGCATAAGCAAGCAAGTCACTAGGCCTGGCTACCAGGAAGTGAGACACAGAATGGGCAAATTTAGAATGGGAAAGGAGATGGGGATATTGGGAAGGGGGATGCAGCAGAGGATAAAGGGCTCCTGGGGGAGAGAGGAACAGTCCAGAAGATGCACAGGCAAATGGGAAGCTCTGAACTCCACCAACCCGGATTTCCAGGGCTTGTGCCGAAAGCCACAGCAGTGGCAAGGGTCAGCCATTGGCCATGTGGAGGTCAGCCGCAGGCCGCTCTGCAGGGTGGGGGAGCGTCCAGTCTCTGCCGCAGCACACCTGAGTGTGATTTGTAGTGGCCGTCTGCAGGCGCTCAGTTCCACCGTCTGAACGTCTGCGCGCGCTGGGACCAGCCCCTCACAGGCCTGAGTGTACCTCTCCCAGTGATGCAGGCGCGAGGTTCCTCTGCAATCCATGGGGCCCGCGGCTCCTTCTGCCGAGTGACAGTCATATTTGGTGATAGGCTGTGAGTCCACATACCCAACTGAAATAAATTCAGGACCCTGATGCCAGGATCCGAAACGCCCAGAAAGAGTATGCTCAGAGAGTGCGTCCCTGGGAAGGAAGCAAAGAAGGAAGACATGTAGGGTCCCAGACTATCCAGATTCTTCAACTGCATTCATTTAGCCCCACACGAGCGCTCCCTACTCCGCTATACCCAGGCCTCCAGGCCCCAGCTGCCGTTTCCGCTTACAGAACCACAGAACCCAGGAACCAGGGCCTGGACAAGAACAGAGCTCCAGCCCAGTGACTTGGAGCCTTTCTTGTTCAGGTTTGCAAATGCAGGATGGAATTTCATAGGTAATCTCAACTCATAAGCAAAGTACAGAGCAAGCGTGTCCAACCCATGGCCCAGGATGGCTTCGAATGTGGCCAACACAGAATTTGTAAATGTTCTTAAAACATGAGGTTTTTTTGTGATTTTTTTTTTTTTTTGTTTAGCTTATCAGCTATTGTTAGTGTATTTTATATGTGGCCCATGACAATTCTTCCAATGTGGCCCAGGAAAACCAAAAGATTGGACACCCCTGGTATAGAGTGCTGCTCTGATTATAGGGGGAATGGGGAAGACACAAGGGGAGCTATCCCTGCGGGAGCCCTCAAAAACTCTGAGGTCTTGAAAACCCTGATAATCCAGCCCTCTTGTTTTACCAGAGAAGTCTGTGGGTGGATAAATGAGGATCCCTACTCCACTTCTGTGTGCCGGTGTGAGCACACACACACAAACACGTGCGCATATACAGCAGCTCGGTCAGAACGAGATTCCTGTTAGGACTCAGGCCTAAGTGACTATCGGGCAGGTCGTGTCTATAGTGTGGAGATGTTGGACAAAGGGATGATTCATGTTCTGAATGGAGCCATGTGAGATTTCTTCACGCTACCCAGAATAGTGTGCAATTTAAAACTTATGAATTGTGTATTTCTGGAATTTTCCATTTAAATTTTTGGAATGCGGTTGACCACTGGTAGCTGAAACCATGGAAGGTGACAGCGAGGATAAGGGGCTCCTACTGTTCGTACATTGTGGAATGGTTAGATCTAGCTTCCTAACAACTGTATTACCTCATATCATTCGCATAGAGATGATTTTTTTTTTTTTTTTTTGAGATGGAGTCTCTCTCTGTCACCCAGACTGGAGTGCAGTGGTGTGATCTCAACTTACTGCAATCTCCACCTCTTGGGTTCAAGCAATTCTGATGCCTCAACCTTCCAAGTAGCTGGGATTACAGGCGTGCCCCCCAACACCTGGCTAATTTTTGTATTTTTAGTAAAGATGGGGTTTCACCATGTTGGCCAGGATGGTCTTGAACTCCTGGCCTCAAGTGGTCCACCCGTCTTGGCCCCACAAAGTGCTGGGATTACAGGCATGAACCACTGTGCCTGTCCAAGATGGTCTTCCTTCAATGTCCAGCTGCCTGCACCCAACTCCCAGCCTTAAAAAAAAAAAAAAGCTTATACTTCAAATAGTGAGGTCTTATTCTTGTGGGGCTCACATTGGTCTGCTGTATATAAACAGGATGCCATTCTCACCTGTTTATTTGCCAATTAATTAATGCTCACTGGGAAACTGTGCTCTCTGGTGTTGAATCCAGAACACCAAGAGAGTGTCAAGTAGAGTAGAATGATCCCTCAGCCCTGAGCAGCATTGCTATGAATCTCATGATGGAAGCCCATGCTCAGTAACACAGGGTGGAGGTCAAACTCCAAAACAGCTGCCTTCTGTCGTTATCATCTTTAAGGACAGACTCAGAGGCTCAGCCCCTTATTAGCCATGAAAACAATTACAGCTCACCACAACATACATGATAGCCGTTTGGTGCAATGTATTTTGGATTTGGCCATTAGGAACTGCATTTTCTCTGGGACGACCCTAAGGCACTTACCAGGGGGCAGACTGATGCTAACTTGTCATATGTCCTCCTCACTGCTGGTGACTTGCCTTTTGCAAATACCGAAGCTCTGAAAGGTATAGTGGCACCTTGGTCAGGTTGCTGCAATCTAGATAAATTTTGGAGTTATTATATTAAAGCCTCTTTATTAATACAGATTGAGGGGAAGAGGAAGAAAGAAGCAGCTTGGTTTTTCTCTGCCATAAATGAACATGTTGGTGCTGTTTTTCTTCAGACATGCCCTTTGTGCAGAGCTGCCCTTCCCCAGGGCTGTGTGGGCGTTAACTGTGCTTAGACAGCGATTGTTCCAGCTGCCTGCCCTACTGCTTGGGTTTCACATGAACATTTCATGCAATGCACCTGGTTTGCCAACTGCGGCCAGACCTTTGTGCAAAATTGTATTTTACCACTTTTTAAAAGGTTATGAGCTGTCAAACCTGGAGGCCACTTGGTTATTCAGGGGGTGTTTGGAATAAGACCACCCGGCTTCGTTCTTTGCTGACCAAGGCCCTGTTCCCTGGTGTTCGTGGCAGCCCAGCGCTCCGCTCCAGCCAAGGTTTCCATCAGCCCTGGGGTGGGACCGAGTTCAGGGTTTTTTCCTGCTCTGCAGAAAGCAGATTTTAGCTGAGATCATCCTACTGAAGGACAACTGTGACCCTGCAGTTAAAGTCTGTTCTGGGAAAAGCAGATGTCTTCATCTTCAGGAAAGTAGAGTATCTGTGCCCTGTCATCTGTGTGGGGCAAGGAGAGGACAGCCAGGTGTCCCGCTAATATGTTTTTGGAATTGCTTTTAGATTCCATGTGATTACTTCGTAACTGACACAGGCTGGGCTCCAGCTCTCAACAAACAGACTTCAGAGAATGCTGGGGGTGAGGGGTGACCTAGAAGCCATCTAGGAAAGGGCCAGAGAAAGCAAGCTGAAACCGATTATGGGTTCTGTTTCTCTAGCTGGAACTATCCTTTCACCGGCTCATTCGTAATCAGAAATTAGTCTAATTCAAAGACAGAATGTGTAATATGTGACAAAAGTCAGCAGGAATAAACTATTATGTTTTTTCCAAGGATAAATAACCTTATGGTGTTTTCATGTTAAATAACTAGAAGATACAAACCAAAGAAGTAGGATCAAGAATTAGAATTACAAATCCCTGGGTGGTTTCCAGATGGTGCCTGACTCCTCGACATAAAGAGAGGAGGGCTAGAGCCCTAGTGCCATGGTTTACAACCGGGAGACACAGGTAAATTTTTGTTTCCTGTGTATGGCGGGTCTCCAGGTGTGGTGTGGGACCAGCAGTCGCATCTCTGCATGGAGGACTTGCTGGAAATGCAAGGCGAGGCCCGCAGTGTGTTTCACCATGCCCTCCTGGGGGTTCTGTTGCATGCTCTAGTATGAGAACCACTGCTACATGGACTTTAGGTTACAGTAAAACAATAACCCCTGCAAAATGAAACATTATCCATGGCTTTGATTTTCATCATAATGTGAAATAAAATCTGATGACACTATAAACTTAAAACCCTAATCCCCCCAAAGTACTGTGTAAAACAAAAAACTAGCCATCCTTAAAAGTAATATTTTTACACCATGAAGTCTCAGTTACTCTTGAGATCATATTACAACTATATGAAGAATATTGTTCAGCATTAAAGAAGTGGGGATGCCACGAGCCTTGGCCTGGGTGTTTTTTGTTTGTTAGGTTGTTTCTTAGTTTTGTTTTTAGTTCTTTTCACACCTAAGCACAGCTCTGTTCTTCTCCTCCCACCCCCTCTAATAAAAGACATGTGCATCTACCTGGGGTAGGAAAAGTTTGTGACTGCTGGAATATCTGAATTATCAGTTATGCTTTCTCTGGCTGAGCAAGTTATATGAATTCTTAAACCCCCAAGTAGCCTGATATGGTTTGGCTGTGTCCACATTCAGATCTCAACTTGAATTGTATCTCCTAGAATTCCCACATGTTGTGGGAGAGACCCAGGGGGAGGTAATTGAATCATGGGGGCTGGTCTTTCCCGTGCTATTCTCGTGATAGTGAATAAATCTCATGAGATCTGATGGGTTTTATCAGATTTCTGCTTGTGCTTCCTCCTCATTTCTCTCTTGCTGCAGCCACGTAAGAAGTGCCTTTCACCCTCTGCCATGATCCTCCCCAGCCAGGTGGAACTGTAAGTCCAATTAAACTTCCTTTTCTTCCCAGTCTCGGGTATGTCTTTTTCAGCAGTGTAAAAATGGACTAATACAGTAAATTGGTACCAGTAGAGTGTGGCATTGCTGAAAAGATACCCGAAAATGTGGAAGTGACTTTGGAACTGGGTAACAGACAGAGGTTGGAACAGTTTAGAGGGCTCAGAAGAAAACAGGAAAATGTGGGAAAGTTTGGAACTTCCTAGAGACTTGTGGAATGGCTTTGACCAAAAGCCTGATAGCGATATGAACAATAAGGTCCAGGCTGAGGTGGTCTCAGATGGAGATGGAGAACTTGTTGGGAACTGGTGCAAAGGTGACTCTTTTTATGTTCTAGCAAAGAGATTGGCTACATTTTGCCCTTGCCCTAGAGATTTGTGGAGCTTTGAACTTGAGAGAGATGATTTCAGGTATCTGGCAGAAGAAATTTCTAAGCAGCAAAGCATTCACATTGTGACTTAGGTGCTGTTAAAAGCATTCTGTTTAAAAAGGGAAACAGAGCATAAAAGTTCAGAAAATTTGCAGCTTGATGATACAGTAGAAAAGAAAACTCCATTTTCTGGAGAGAAATTCAAGCCAGCTGCAGAAATTGGCCTAAGTAGCAAAGAGCCTAATGTTAATCTCTAAGACCATGGGGAAAGTGTCTCCAGGCCATGTCAGAGACCTTCACAGCAGCCCCTCCCATCACAGGCCTGGAGGCCCAGGAGGAAATAGTGATTTCATGGGCCAGGCCCAGGGTCCCCGTGCTGTGTCCAGCCTAGGGACTTGGTGCCCTGTGTCCCAGCCACTCCAGCCATGACTGAAAGGGACCAATGTACAGCTTGGGCTGTGGCTTCAGAGGGTGGAAGCCCCAAGCCTGGGCAGCATCCATGTGGTGTTGAGCGTGCAGGTGCACAGAAGTCAAGAATTGAGGTTTGGGAGCCCCACCTAAATTTCAGAAGATGTATGGAAATGCCTGGATGCCCAGGCAGAAGGTTGCTGCAGGGGCGGGGCCCTCATGGAGAACCTCTGCTAGAGTAGTGCAGATGGGAAATGTGGGGTTGGATCCCCCACATAGAGCCCCTACTGGGGCACTGCCTAGTGGAGTTGTGAGAAGAGGGCCACCGTCCTCCAGATCCCAGAATGGTAGATCCATTTACAGTTTGCACTGTGCACCTGGAAAAGCCACAGACACTCAATGCCAGCCCATGAAAGCAGCCAGGAGGGTGGGTATACCCTGCAAAGCCACAGGGGCAGAGCTGCCCAAGACTATGGGAACCCACCTCTTGCTGTCAGCATGAGTTGGATGTGAGATACGGAGTCAAAGAAGACTATTTTAGAGCTTTAAAATGTGACTCTCCTGCTGGATTTCAGACTTGCATGGGGCCTTGTAGCCCCTTTGTTTTGGCCAATTTCTGCCATTTGGAATGGCTGAATTTACCCAATGCCCGTACCCCCATTGTATCTAGGAAGTAACTAGCTTGCTTTTGATTTTACTGGCTCATTGATGGAAGGGACTTTTCTTGTCTCAGATGAGACTTTGGACTGTGGACTTTTGGATTAATGCTGAAATGAGTTAAGACTTTGGGGGGACTGTTGGGAAGGCATGATTGGTTTTGAAATGTGAGGACATGAGATTTGGAAGGCACAGGGGTGGAATGATATGGTTTGGTTGTGTCCCCATTCAACTCTTAACTTGAATTGTATCTCCCAGAATTCCCGCGTGTTTTGAGAGGGACCCAGGGGGAGGTAAATGAATCATGGAGGCCAGTCTTTCCAATGCTATTCTCATGATAGTGAAAAAGTCTCACAAGATCTGATGGGTTTATCAGGGGCTTCCACTGTTGCTTCCTCCTCATTTCTCTCTCGCTGCTGCCATGTAAGAAGTGCCTTTCGCACTCTGCCATGATCCTCCCCATCCATGTGGAGCTGTAAGTCAAATTAAAGCTCCTTTTCTTCCCAGTCTCAGGTATATCTTTTTCAGCAGCATAAAAATGGACTAATACATAACCATACTGTGTATGCAAAATATTACACAGCACAGAGTTTCAATGAGACAGTGAACTTGGGAGAACAGACCAGAACAGAAAGGAATGAGTCCTTCATTCCCACCCTCACTGAAGTGCTGGCAAACAACAATATTGCCCAAGCAAATTGGTAGTTGAAAGAGCCTGCCCTAAATTCTGTGGGGATGAGGTGATGAGGTGATGAGGCTACATAAGGTCCTTAAGGGCAGAGAGATCTTGATCATTCCATTTGCCATCATCATCCTCACTGATACTAATTTCTATGTGCCAGGCACTGTTCTAAGTACTGTGTACTAACACACAGAATTCTAAAAATGAGAAGTTTCCTCATCTGTTAAATCTGCAGGTAAGGAAATTGGGACACAGAAAAGTCATTTTCCAAAGGTCACACAGGTGGTGAGAGGCAGAGCTGCTTACTGTGACCCTAGTGCCTAGCACAGAAGGTGCCGTATCAGAGCTTGCTAAGTCCTTAGCTTGATTTCTCCCAGACATAGTAGCTAGGAAGAAAAGGTGATGGCAAATAAACATACTGACCAGCCTCGCCAGAGAAACGAGTGCTTAGAGAGTTAAGGTTATACGTATCCTCTAATAAAAGCAAATCATCTCCCCGACCCGAGGGAGAAACATGGACTGTCTCTTTGGCAGAGGGAGATAGTTTGCATCTGCAAGCCTGAGGGGTCCAGTTCCACAGGTGGACAGTGACACGATTCTACTCATGGCTTTGCTGTGCAGCAAAACAGTGATTTGCCATCATTCCAAAGGTCCCAAAATGTTAAAAGGCAAGACCTGAGGCAAAAATGAAACTCACAGGAAGGGAGGGCCTGTCATGCCACCGTAATAGGTCACTGTCCTAGAGGACACATTTCAAATCAGTAAATGATCCTTGGTGCCTCCAGGTGTCAGCTGTATGCCCACCTGCCCAGGTGCTGCTACGTGGAGCATTAGCAGTGACTGTGCAGGGGCAGGCTGAGCCTGAGCAAGCATCACCACAGATGCACCTCAGAGAGGGGGCAGTGGGCTCCAGAAGCCAGTGTGGGCATGTGCTTCCGATTCCAACCTCTTTGAATGGTGTTTTCTCCCCACCTCCCTTCCCAGCCCACTTGCTCACATATCATCAGATGCTTTCTCTGGGCACAGTAAGATTGGCTGGCCTTCGAAGAGGTCAATAACTCTAAACTTCCTAAAAGTTTTATCTAAACAGTCACCAATAGTTCTGGCCAGTATTTGATGCAAATCTGATGTGTGGGGTAGGTCTTTGACCAAGGCTGTAGGGATGTGGTGAGGAGCAAAACATTTTCATTCAGTTCTCAACCCGACAAGAGAAATACTGTTGAGACCAACTTTACACCTGAAAACTGGGGCATGGAGCAATAAAGAAATTTGTGTAAGGCTACAACTAGTAAATGGTAGAGACAGAATCGGAGTCCAGGTTGGCCTGGACCATACGAGGCCTCCATGAAGAGAAAAGACACTGGCCTGACTTCAGTGGTGGCAAGCAGATGTCTCACTAAGCCATCCCTCTAACCTGAGAAGTGGTAGCATAAGGCTGAGGAGGGGGGAGAGGGGACACAACAGCTGTGCCAGTTAGTGGTGGATTAAAGCACTGAACCAGAAGTACCTGGGATAAAGCATGGATACCAGTTGCCTTGGACTTGACCACATTTCAAGTCCATTGTAGGGTTCAAGAGATCTACTGGCTCAGGGTTTCACACAGGTCTGCCTTGCTGATAAATGTTTTGGAGCTTTTGTGTATTTGGCTGGAAATAAGCAAAAAATAAATGAGCCAAACCCCTTATTGTATAAACCCAGAAAATCCTGGAGACTTAGTCTGGGGGGCTCAGGATGAGAAAGCAAATTGTGGCCTCTGAATGCTGCTCCCGTGGATGCCAGCACCTCTTGTTCCTGAGTTAACACCAGAGCTGGATGGAGGCTGGTGAGCTTGGGGTCTTGGGGGGCCATGAGGTCCTAGAGTGGGCTCTCCTGGGAGCCTTTCTGCTCCTCAGTTAGAGTGGGGTCTCCTGCCTTGGGGCTTCCATTGTAGCCCTGCACGCTGGCATTTTTTCGTAACTGAAGCTGTATCCATCCTGGGGATGTGGGTATCCTAAGGGCAGGGCGGGCCTCTCCCCCGTGCCTGGCACTGGGCCAGAACCCTAAGGGCAGCTCCACGCTGTGAGTAGGGGCCTGAGCCCAGACTGCAGAAGGACAAGACAAAGGCAGGCCCGGCAGGCAGCCTGGCAGCCACAGGAGAGCTCCGGATACCCTCCAGCACTGGCAGGGCAGCTGTTAAGCCCTGGCTCCATGGGCAGTTATCAGCGCCAGTCCCCGCAGCCCCCTTCCTTGGGGTCCAGCACTCCGACCTGGCCAACCCACAGCCAGAGAGCGCTGGGCAGAGCTTCTTGCCAAGGAAGGCTCTTGCCATTTCTAAGCAGGTGCTCTGGCTCTGTAGGAAAGAGGGAAACTTCTCTGTGGATATGTGGGGGAGGGAGGGAGAAAGGGAAGGCCTGTTCATGCAGGTAGCAGCAGGGCGTTTTGAGTCGCTCCAGAACTAGCCTGGGGACTTGGGGTGGGAAATGGGTTGGGCAGATGGAGTAGGGAAGTCCACTTGTTGCCAGGTAAGTTTGGTGGAGGATAAACAAGCAATTCTGCCTAAAGAGTCACTGTAAAGAGCCCTTGGTACAAGATCCTATGGGATCTAAGGGGAGGAGCCGAAGTCAGCATGCAGTATTGGGAAAGCTTCCAGAGACAGACACCTCTAATATTTTTGAAGGCTGCCACGGGGTCTGTGGGTGAACAGGGAAAGGGCATTCCAAGCAAGACACATGCATAAGCATGAGAGAGTAGGTGGGTGCATGGATGGGTGAAGTTGGGGCTGGTGAGATCCAGGAGCCAACAAACAAAGCTCCTGCCAGTAATACCCACACGAGAATCCTGTGCCCAGAGGCAGTTTGGAGGACTAAGAAGTCCACAGTTGCGTCACTGCCTTCCTCTCCTGGGTCATAGGCCTCTTCTTGGCACCTCCAGAAAAGGTGAAAACAAACGGCTGCCCAGGACACCTATCTAGGGTGGAGGCCTCTTCCCCACTACCCCAGGGGCCAGGCCATGGCCCTGAGGTTTCTTCTGTCTCCCTGCAGAACAGAACCATAACCCACCTTAAATTACAACTCGGTACATATCCACAGAAGCAGCATTTCTCAAAACCTAAGCTACCCTCGGCTTGTATAAAGCACTCTAATTTTTATTTTCTATCCTGTCCTTTTTTTTTTTTTTTCAATGCTTGTCTCAACCCACAAAATTGCTTTTATAACCCATGAGTGAATTGTACCTGCAGTTTGGAAACACTGCCCTGGAAAGGCATCTGCCTGCTCTTCTCCAGCGCCACTTCCCAGAAGGAACACCGAAATGAGGGCGCCTGCGTCCTGGTGAAGGTCAGTGGTGGGCAGGCCAAGCTGGGCCGCGGGAGCTGCTGGAGGGCACCACTCCGCCCCGTAGGCTGTGCCTGCAGGCCGGGGAGCGGGTACTCCGGTGCTTGAGGACCTCCAAGCGAGGTGAACTGCAGAGGGACCCAGGAGGGTGGAAGGATGCTGGCTGGAAGTCGCAGAGGGCCAGGTTCAAATCCTGCCTCTGCTATTTATTGGCTCCCAGACCTTGGATCTGTGAATTAACCTTTGAGCCTCCGACTCCTCCTGCCTAAGCCTGGTATAATAGTCTCTCCCTCGCAGTGTTGCTGTGTGGATTCAGGGTTATTTAATGACCCCAGCAGAGCTCTGGAACATTTGTGGAGCTGGCAGGGCAAGGTGAGGGACAGCCCAACGAAGGCAGGTCCCTGAAGTCCTGGTTAACACGGGTTTCCAGAATTCGAGCCAGCCTGTGGTTTCTCCAGCTCGCCTGAAAGCTGGGGACACTGCATGCACCAGGTAGTCATTCCTGCACACCCCGCGCCCGCCCCACGAACTTGAGGGTCCATAGTTCGCCCCACCTCCTCCCCATCTCTCCAGCCACCTCCAGCTCATCCTCCCAGTCTGGCTCGGCGCGAAGACTCCACAGCACCTTTCAGCAAGGCCCGGGACCTTGCGATGCACCAGTCGGCTCCTGTGCTCCTCCCCAGTCGTGCGTTCCTCAGGGGCAGGGTGAGCCCAGCAGTGTCTGTGTGTGTGTGTGCGTGTGCGTGCGCGCGCGCGCTGGGGGCGGGGGCGTGCAAAACCCCCGTGAGCCCGCCTTTCGTCCACCCTCAGGCTGCAGGCCCCTGCGGCTCTTAACAGCCGGTGCCCTACTGGACACACCCCGCCTCGCGGAAACGGCCTTGGCACGAAGGCCCTGGCGACCCCCAGGCAGGGCAACGGGCCCGCGCCCCTCTCACCCCCGCCCGCGCGAGACCCCGCGGGAGGACGCAGACAAAGGCTGTTGGCCGCGCTGCCTGGCCCCACGCCTCGGGTCTGCGGCGGGAACACTCTCCGCGGGCGGCCGCGTGGCCGGGAAGGCGCGGCTGGCGGGGAGCCTGCGGGTGCAGAACAAGCGGCCGCCCGCTGCCTGCCAGGGCCCGTAGGGACCGCCCGCCCCGCCGGGGAGACTTGGGGGCGGCACCGGCGTCGCTGTGAGGTGGCCTCTGGTGGCCTGAGGGCGGGGCGGGTGTGGGGCGGCTGTCGAGGGCACAGTCGCCTCCTGGTCTCAGGGCCCGGGACAGACCCCGGTCCTCCCTCCCGGGACACCGGGTGCCAGCTGCGGAGACCTCTCGCCTCTTCTGCACCTCGCAGCTACAGAGGAGGCTCCCGGGAAAGAGGAGAAAACCAGCGGCCACCCGGGACGCCCGTTCTGCGGGTGGCTTCGGAAAGTGCCCCCAAGCCCCAAGGAGATTGCGGTGCCTGAGGAAAAGGTGGTGCCACTTTCTGCTCCGTGTAGTCCCAGTGTCAGGGGCCTTCTGTGAACCACGGTAGGAACATAAGTTAGACACTGGAAAAACCCACACCTTTGCACGTGGCTGTTTTGGTTTCTGTGCCTGAGTCACTTGGCCCTTGCTGTAGCTTCCTACTCGTTTTACAAAGCCCTGCTTGTGCTCACCTGTCCGGTTGGCGCCCTTGCCAACCACCTGGCCAACCACGAATCATGGCCCCAGGCTGTCCACAGGCTACATCGGCTGCAGCCCCTCTTGCAGCACACCCTGCCTTGGCTCTGTAATATGTGTGTGCCTCCCGCTAGGCTGGGGCCCCTTGAGGCTGCTGGTCTCTCATGTCCCGGGGCTCCTGCCTGGCCTAGGCCTGGCTCCTGGTTAATAAGCTCTCAGTAAGAAGGTTCTGATGACCCAGGCACTAGGGCTCAGGCCAGCACTTTGGGAGGCCGAGGTGGGCGGATCACACGTCAGGAGTTCGAGACCAGCCTGGCCAACATAGTTAAACCCTGTCTCTACTAAAAATACAAAAACTAGCCAGACATAGTGGCGGGTGCCTGTAGTCTCAGCTACTCGGGAGGCTGGGGAAGGAGAATCACTTGGAATCGGAGGTTGCAGTGAGCTGAGATTATGCCACTGCACTCCAGCCTGGGCAACAGAGTGAGACACTAGGTTCTGATGCTCCAGTGTGTGAGTGAGGCAGGGCTGCCCCAGGCCTTCAAGGTCAGCAGCTCTCCAGGCAGGCAGATGCAGGCAATTGGGGAAGGTCAAACAGGAGGCTGGAGAAACCAAAGCCCCCTCCCATCCACACAAGGCAGGGCCTGCACATCAGGCTGCCCCAGGGAAGAGCTGGGATGCCAGCGCCTTTCCTCCTTGGAATTAGGTCACCGTCCAGAGGCCTGGGAGCCTCTGGTGTCCTGTGTGCCTCGTGCCCCTCCCCTAGCAGCAATCCTTTTCTGGCATGGGGAGGTAGCTGCAGTGGGAAAAGGGGCCCCGAGTCAGAGGGGCAGGATTGCATGCCCTGTCAGTGCTGCTGAACTTGGTTCCCCATCTATGCAAGATGAAGACAATGAGCAGGACACACCTGGCAGGACTATTTAAGGACTAAGTATGTCACCAGCCTGGGAGGTGATATGCCTGAGCCTTTTCCTGTCCTCCCAGCCCCAGCCACCCGCTTCCACCTCCTCCCACCTAGGAAGACGAGTTGTCCTTGCCACACAGAGAAAAATGGAGCTGTCTTTGGCCCCCAGGAGCTTTTCTCAACATGAAATTTCTCCAGTTTTGTGACCATAGGCCAAGAATTGCAGTATAGGAGGAACCAGGGTTTCCCCACACTGGAGGTTTCTTGCTGTGGGGTCATTTCTACACTTTGAGGTGTGCCAGTGCCCTCTTCACAGCCTGAAGCCCCAAGCACTTGTTCCTCTGGCCCCTCTGCTCACCTGTCAGAGCCCCCTCATTCCTCCTTCACCCGCCTACCCCATGGGGCTCAGCCCCTCCCTCTCCCTGCATGGGCATCATGAAGACAGGGACCTGGCTCCTACTGTAAAGGCCCTGGGCAGGGAACATACCCCAAACACTGCACAGGACTGCCTCCCCACCCCCACGACCTTCTCCCTGGGCCACAGGCCGGCTTCAGTGTCCTTGTCCAATGAAAGCTGCCCTGACACTCATTTAAACCCGATTCTGCTGAAGGTTGGGTTTCTTGTTTCCAGGGTTTTTTTTTTTTAACCACAGCTGGCACCCTGGCCAGTTCTAAAGCAGCCCTGAACTTCCTATTACACTCCTCAGTTGTGCCCAGCTAGGGTCCCTTGGCTGCTTCTCTCCTGATCATAAACCTGGCCCAGGGCTTTTCTTCTGCCAAAGGACGGTCTGGAGGCTTCTGCATCTACCCTGGCTGTCACCGTAACCTGGGGCCTCCCCAGCCTTTCCTCTGGCATGCCCACCACCAGCACCCGTGCCTTCCCCCACTCCCCAGTCCTGCCCGTGGCTAGTGAAAGTGAGTGTTGAGCCCAGAATTTTGCAACTCAGAGTGAGAGAAGCTTCAGCTTTGCTTTTTAATAAGTTAAGACTGACACATGGCCATCCACTCCCAAAGAGTCCCAGCCCTCCAGGCAGCACTGAGGCCTAGGCAGATGGCCCATCCCCGCTCTCCACAGCCTCCCTGCTGCCCACCCACCCACATGCCCACGGACAGCACCGCCAGGACATCTGGGCAGAAAGCATGCAGCTGTGTGACGGCCAAGCACCCGCTGCAGCCCTGTCTCCAAGCTGGACAGAACTAAGAGGGAGGCTGCCACAGGCCAGGCTGCAGCAGCTCTTGCCTCCTCCTGGGCAGAGGCAGCGGCTGGGGTGGCGTGGGGCTGGTCTGGCTGGTCCCACTGGCTGGATCCTGGCTACCACAGTAGCATGTCCTGAAATCAGTTTTGTTGTTTTCAACTTTATGTATAAAAAAAATTTCCTAGAAATTTTTAATATTCTGGCTACCAGATAACATCTCCCAGATGTTCCCAAACCCAGAAGGGGCATAAAACTCCTGTCAGATGACACATTCCAATTTTGGTTTGGCATATATGGTCAATGGCTGTAAGGCTGGTACTCCAGGACACTTTGCCCATTGCTGGAGAAAGGGCAAAGGCAGTGAATGGAGTAGGGAGGAACGTGGCTGAAAAAGGGAAGGGTCAAGGCCAATATGGACATGTGCTTTCTTTGGTTCCACAGTGTTGGAAGCTGGGGTAGCCTTTGACCAGGATTGGGACCCGGAGGTGAGGCCAGCTCTCAGACATCAACCAAAGGACCCACTGCATCTCCCTCCTTCCCCTGCCAACAAAGGTACAAGTAGATGTTGACACCCCCTCAGACATGGAAGGAGACCCATTTTTTTCTTTTTCTAGTTCTGCATAAATGGCCTTAAACAAAATATGCAAACAGGCTCCTTGCCTCTCCCGAAGGCAGCCCACCACAGAAGCCCTGCCACAGCCCAAGAGGTTAGATGCTGCCAGGATCTGTTTCCGCCACAGAGCAGCTCTGTGCAGCACATTCCTGTCAACCACCCCAAGTGCTTCAGGGCTTCCGAGGCAGTGACAGTGAGGGCAGCGGCACTTCTGGGTCACCGTGGGACAGGTCTCTGCCTCAAGACACGGATTGACAAGCTCTCTGAGTGGGCCAGGAGCTCCTTAATGTGAGCCAAGCCCAGCCCTGCCACCTTGGCCCCATTCATCTCCAGGATCTCATCGCCCACCCCCAGCAGCCCTGAGTACAGCTTGGCCGTGCTCACATCAGCCATCTCCTGCACGTAGATCCCTGCAAAGGAAAACAGAAGAATTTCACAGTGACACCCAAATCGAAGAAGTGCATCTCTGGAACGCTGACCATGTTGGTGAGGTGCTGTTTGTGTGGCACAGGGAGGAGGTGCTCATAGCGGGCACTTCTCTGCGCGCATGCACACACACACATACCCCTCATTATTCCACCTCACAGCCGCAACTGGCTTTAGACAGTGCATCTCCTCCACGGTCTAACTTCATTCCACTGTCTCTGCTTTTAAAGTGGAAATGCTCCTAGTGCAAATAACGCGTTAAATTGTTGTTATTTATTTATACCTGACTGTGAGTGAGCTACTCTTTTTCTGAGATGAGTTTTGCTTGTAGAATAGGAAGGAAAATAGTTTTTAAAAATTAGGAACCATACCTACTCGGTGCCTGGCACTATGGTCCAGTTGCTGCCTCAGGTCGCCCAGGCCCAGCATAAAGGCCGGGGTGGTGGGAAGGTATCGTCGGAAAAGCAAAAGTGGCTGAGCCACATCCAAGCCTGGTTTGCTGCACTCTATTGCCAAAGAGTGACCCTGGCCTCAGTCTTACTCAGATATGGTTCCTCAATTGGGATGGGAAAACACCCAGGAAAAATAAAAATTCTAGCCACATATTTCAAAGCTCCGGTGGCTCCCTCTCCTCTTCTGCACATGTCCCCTCCTCCCCACCCCAAAGAGGCCCTGCCTGGGTCTAGAAGGTGCCAAGAGTCAGCCTGGAGGAACCAGCTTCTCTGTTTCTTTCCCAAGCTCCGGCTCTCAGGGAGCCCCCTGTCAGTGGGGCAGGCCCTGTGGGGCTTGGGCTGGCTGGGCTGGCTCCCTCTGGCATCTCTGGGAAGCGTCCAGCTGAGGAGGCCCCCATCCCCCCACCGGCCTCAGCTGTGGCTGGAAACCTTTCAAATTCCCCTCCAGCTGCTCCCACCTGGGAGAAAGTAAGTGAGCTGCTGGCTCTCCCAGGGCAGGCTGGAGCCCCTGATGCCCATGCTCCGTGCTGGGTGGACACAGGGGCTGAGACACAGGCTGAGTTTGCTGGAGGACTGCAGGGCACACCCCTGGCATGGGCATCAGCACTGGCAGAATTCAGGCTGCTCAGTGCAGCCTTTGGCACCCTCACTGTTCCAAGCCCAGCTCGGCTCACTCTGCATTTCAAACATGAGGCCACTGCCCACGCGTTACTGTCTCCACTTCCTTTTCCTCCAATCGGGTTCCTAGCAGGGGCCTGAAGGAGCATCAGGTCTGCTCCTCAATCTCTGGCTTGAAACTAGTCACCACATCTTGGACTAGTGGGAAGTCCTCTCTCAGGTCCCCCCAGCCTCTGGCCCTGACAGAAGTCAGGCATTTTAAAGCCTGCCTCTGAAATGTGGCTTTGAAAGAGCACTGATCTTCACCGAGGCACCTGAAAGTCTGTGGCTCTGAATTTAGCAAATCCAGTCTTTGCACACATTCCCCCCCCGGTCGGAGGTATAGAATCCCTTTTGTTGCTTCTTGGCCAAGCCGAGCCTTTTCTGCAGGGCTGTCTTCCCTGACGGTACGTCTGCCATCCTGACTGTACAAGGCGTTTTCCCTCAACCCTGTCTTTTACCTCCTGTAGCTGGACTGCTTGCCCTCCCTGTCTACGGGTTGGTGGCACGGGGAGGGGGCAGGTAAGAAGGAGCCCCTGGGGCGAACCCAGAGAAGTGTCTGATGTGCTGTGGGAGTTGCAGGTGGGGACTAATGATAAACCCTGAAAGAATGCAGCCAGAGCTAGGCCAGACACTGACGTCACTCCTGCCATTTTGGGGAGACTCGTGTACATTTCACAACTGAAATTCGTGACACAAATATGACAGCCTGCTGTCGTAGGCATTTATTGTCTGCTGGAAATGGCCTTTGTTGAGGATGTGTGATCTCTATGTTGTATCCAATTAGAAGCAGAAGGCAAAGCCTGCTGTTCTCACAGACTCATAGAGAGTCAGATGTGAAAGCCAGCAAGTTAATACCAGCATCCTGCCGGTTCAGCGCAGGGCACAAGCCAGCCCTCTTCACAGCCCCTCGGAGCCTGGAAGAAGTGACCCTCTGCTGTTGGAGGATGGCCTGGGGAACGGAGGCCCCAGCACTCGCCAGGCTTCATGTGCGTGGGGACTCCTGTGTGCCATCCAGTGACCCATGACGGCAGCAGGACCAGGGAATGCTTGGGCAGAACAGGGAGCTGGCACCAACTCAGGCAAGGGTGCCGGGGACCCTGGGTCACTAGAGACCCCTGCCCATCAGAGCTCCCAGACGGGTGACGGGGAGGGGCTCCCACTGCCTACAAGGGAGCCAAAAGGGACTCTGGGGGATGGTGGGGGGCAGAGTACAATGCCCTGTTGTGTGTGCACTCACATCGACAGGGGAACGCAGATCACACTGGTCCCTGCCTGGGGTTTTCTTCCCCAGACCTTCTCTTTCTGAAGGGGAGGGAAGAAAAATGCTAGGCCCTTTTCTGTGTGCCTTATCAAATGCTCCTTATGACTCTTCTAGGTAGGTTTTGTCATCCTCATTTCACAGATTAGGGAACTGAGGCTCAGCAGGGATGTCGCCCGCTCTAGGTCACACAGCCAGCAGAGGTGCCGGAGCACAAACATGCTGAGTTGTCTGCCTCCGCCTTCACACACCTGTCCGGGGGCCTGTCCTGCTCGCCTAACGGGAGAGGAGGCTACGGGAAGGCCTGTGAGGAAGGACGTTTTATCCTCCTGAGGTCCAGAGTGGGCAGAAACCTGTCCTGTCTTCCTCTTACACACATGTCCAGCTCATCAGCAAAGAGTCAAATCAACCAGAATCCAACCTTCTCCCCTCTCCCCATCTCCACAGCCATTCCCAGCCCAAGTACCACCATCTCTGTCCCGGACTGCTGAAATAGCTTCAACACAGGGCTCCCTGGCTCCACCTGTGTCCCTCTGGGGTCTATTCTCATAGACATTAGAGAGCCTCAGTGCTCGCTCCGAGCCCTCTAGTGGCTCCCATCTCATTCAGCATGAAAGCCAAAGCCCCTTACAGTGGCACAACCCCATCTTTCCAAACTGCTCCTCCCAACCCCTTGCCTGCTGTAGAGCGTCCAACCTGACCTCCTCACAGTTCTCACAGGCCAGGCTCACCCCTCCACGAGGGCTCTGCACTTGCTGTTCAATCTGCCGGAATGCTCTTCCCCAGACACCCGCAGGGCCCCTCCTTTGCCCCATCCACGGCCCTGCTCAAGTGTCATCTTCTCAGAAAAGCCTCCCCACACTCCTGTCTATACCAGCATCTGCCACACCTGCTTTATCTGTGTGTTTCTCAGAACTTTCTTTTCACCATCTGACATACGTAGCACATTATACATAACAAGAGTACGCATTTTATAGATACAATCTAACTGCTCACTGGGTAGTATATTCATGAGGACAGGGATTTGGTCTGTTCCACTTACTGCTGTATCCCCCGTATCTATAACACATAGTAGGTGCTTAGTATGTATTTGCTGAAACAATTAATGATGGTACAGACATGAGAACTCATGCTGCGGTCTGCAAATGTGGCAGCAGGCAGACTTTTTTCCAGGCTAAACAGCATTGATCTAGGAGATCAAAGCATAGGTTCAACCCCCCATCACCCCCCATTGGCAGAGCCCAGCTGCAGCAGGCTTCTGTGCGCGTCTTTCTGTATTTGTCTCTCCCTTTCTCTCTTCTTCCTTCCCCTCCTCTCCTTGCCCACCCTCGCATACCTGTCTTCCTTCCCTGCTCCTCTGGGGAATGTCTTTCTTTTATGGGCCCTTGCCCTGAGATGCATTGTGGACCACAGACCTTGGGTGTGGGCCTTGGCAAGTCACGTTGCCCTGAAAGACTCATGGATGGGGCGGAACTGAGAACTGGCCAGAGTGCAGAATGATGTCCAGGACTCCTCCCTGCCCTTGCCTGCGTTGAATTGAGACCCAGAGCACACCCCAGCCAGAAGCCTGCAGCCAGGATTCATCTGAACATAATCCTCGGGCACAGGCCTGAGCGGGGGACGGGATGCAGAGACAGACAGGCACGCTCCACCTTCCCAGACATACTCCACAGCCGGAGGAAAGGAACCGTTTCAACGCAGCCACATCAAAGGGACTGCTGAGAACCGGCAGGCACAGACAGTTTTCCTCTGGCTCTCCTCTGCTAAGATGGCCTTCAAAATTCTAATTTCTTTCTTTTTTTTTTTTCCTTTGAGACGAAGTTTTGCTCTTGTTGCCCAGGCTGGAGTACAATGGCGCAATCTTGGCTCACTGCAACCTCCACCTCCTGGGTTCGAGCAATTCTCCTGCCTCAACCTCCTGAGTAACTGGGATTACAGGCATGCACCACCACGCCCAGCTAATTTTGTATTTTTAGTAGACATGGAGTTTCACCATGTGGGCCAGACTGGTCTCGAACTCCTAAACTCAGGTGATCCAGGCGCCTCAGCCTCCCAAAGTGCTGGGATTACAGGCGTGAGCCACCGTGCCTGCCTAAGATTCTAATTTCAAGATATCATCAGACAGCAGGGGGACAGTGGAGTCAAACCTGCCAACTCTACCCCCTCCCGTACACTCCCCACCAACGCCCTCTCAGCTGCAGCTGCCCAGGGCAAAGGCTCTGCAGGTGCAGACTCCTAGACAGCCCTGGACAATTCAGAAAGAGCCCCTGAGGAGAGAAGCCTAGTCCTGTGGTCAGGGGCTTTCTGAATTCCCAGAGCTCCACGGCTCAGCCAAGGACCAGAAAAGCCTCTGACACAGCCAGAAGGCCCTGCCGTGGTTTGCTGAGGCTGCCCCGGCTATGGGGCTGAGGAAGGGGAGAGGGCATACCTGAGTCTGGGCGCCCATTCCCAGAGGCCACGCAGAAGCCGAAAGTGCCTCCTGGGGAGCGCTGCAGCTGCAGCTGGCTCGTGCCGTCCGGGAACACCTCCACCAGGCGGCCCACGGTGCGAGCCAGGCTGGGAGCACCCACGTCCTCCACGCTGAGGGCACGCCGTGGTGAAGCCTTGGCCGGCCTGTGAGGGAACCAGAGACACAGTGAGGGCAAAAAGCGTCAGGCACTGGGCACAACTCTTCCCTAGCTTACAGATGACTGATGCCTCATGGACAGCCAACGCCAGAGTCTGGCATTGGAGGCTGGGGTTCTGCTGACCTCAACCAGCAAAGAGAGCCTGCTAGGGCCAAAACTGGTGGGTTTCCACTGCTGTGCAAGGCCCCCCAGAGCCTGCTGTGGAACTAGAAACCCCACCCTCCCAAAGCAGTGGTTTCAAATTTGGGGGGGTACAGAGACCTTTGTAAGAATCTGACCAAAGGTATAAGTTTATGTCACATTTCCAGGAGCTAACATACACCCCGAAGTGCATCCACACCCCAGGAAAGATCAGCCAGCCTACAGGGCCTCGTCAGACAGGGCGGGATGTTTCCAAGCAGGTCATGCTTCCTGGGCCTCTCTGGGGGTCTCTGACTCCGCATGTTTATTTGGATCTTTAGCTGGGCTAGGAAAGCTCTTTAAACGTTCTGATTTCCAGATGTCACTGGACAGCAGAGGGACAGTGGACTCAAACCGGCCAACTCCACCCTCTCCAGCAACCCCAGGCCTTCTCAGAGCCCAGTGCACCGAGGGTCGGGGCAGGACACTGAGGTGCTGAGACTCCTGTGGCAGCCTTGTCTCCACACATCAGATGTCCTGGGCGGAGGCCTTGCTTTCCCTTCAGCGGACCCTGCTCAGAGCCATGATGCTGAGGCCGGAAGGAGTCAAGCTTTTGGCTCCACTGGTCACTCTCTGAGTTTATCCTCCAAATCATGGGTGCTCCTCTTACCTGCCAGCTGCACTGTGGTCCCCTGGCCCCGCTACCAGGTAGAGGCGGGACTGCTCCCCCTTGCCGCTCAGCAGAGAATGGAGGTTCTGAAAAGAGGCAGCTTTCCGACGCTGGTGAGAGGGTGACACCTGATGAGAAAGGGACAATATTGCAGGTGAGAAAAGCCACCTGGGAGGTGCTGACAGAGGACTTCGCTCCCACCATGAATGTGAGGGCTCTGTAAGAAAGTGACAGCACAAGCTTTTATCATTGCTTCCAAGAATTCAACAGGAACCACCATGACTTACTCAAGGAGATGGGTCTACATAGGCCATCTGAGGAGTCAAGGGATTTTTTGTTTTGTTTTTTAGCTGCAATAACAACTTTAGTGCTATACTAATTACCTCATTGATTAAGGAAATCTAACTACTCATTAAGGAAGAAATGACAGTAAGTTTATTGCAGAGTAATAAATACCACTTTAGAGTTAAAATTCAAAATATTATTTTGTGATTCTTTAGTATGTCTTTTGTGATTGCTTTCGTTCAAAAATTTAAATCGAACACTGTACCTTCAAACATTGCGGATAAAAAGATAGGCAAGAAATCCTTCAAGGAGTTCACAAAATGATGGGGGCAGGGCTGAGCACAGGTAAGTTAAAAGGTTTCAGTGCACTTGAAAAGGAGATGGTGTGTGCCGTGTGTGGTGGCTCACACCAGTAATCCCAGCACTTTAGGAGGCTGAGGTGGGCAGATCACCTGAGGTCAGGAGTTCAAGACCAGCCTGGCCAACATGGTGAAACCCTGTCTCTACTAAAATTACAAAAATTAGCCGGGCCTGGTGGCAGGTGCCTGTAATCCCAGCTACTCGGGAGGCTGAAGCAGGAGAATCACTTGAACCTGGAGGTGAAGGTTGCAGTGAGCAGACATCGTGCCACTGCACTCCAGCCTGGGTGACAGAGTGAGACTCCATCTTAAAAAAAAACAAAAACCCAAAAAACTAAACCTCCCAGCAAACACACTCTTGGCAGCAGCACACAACAACAGCAAGTATTTTACCCTGAGGAATGTCACAAATACTGTGGCGGGGAGACAGATTCTTCCTTTATCTGCCATGTTCTTGAAAATTTCTGTCTTTTTTCAGTTCTTGAAAATGTATTTCTGCTGTTCATCCTCCCTGCTCTGCCTCCCTTTCTTGCACCCAGATTTACTGTCATCAGGACTTCCTATGTCTGTCCATTCAGCTCAGATTGCCTATGAACCTCTCCATGACACCGACGGGGGTGGTGTTTCCTTTGGGGGGTTTACAGAGATAGAAGTCCTAATGACAGTAAATCTGGATGCCACGGCTCAGACACGCTGTGGATAAATCTAACTTCATGAGAACAGTGAGTTCCTGGAGCACAAGTCACTGCTGCTGATTTCGCCAGCTTCAATCTCTGCCGCTGTTTCTTTGCCTTCCATTCATTCAACCGGCAAATATCTGTTGAGCACTGACCATGTGCCTAGGACAGTCTTTGGTGGAAGACAGTCAATGGGACCTTCATTCAGTCTGCATCCTCTTCTCACCTGCAGCCTGGGAAATGAAAGGCGCCAGCAACGCAAACCACTCTCACCTGCTTCACTCTCCCTAGGAGAGCGGGGAGGGAATTAGGAGAAACAGACCACCTGAAGCTCCCTGGAACAGAAGGGGTGTCCAGCGGGTGCTGCTCCTCGTTGCAGAATGTGGAGTACTTGGGGAGGGAGAGCCTGAGCGAGCTGCCCTGCGCTTCCCACCCACTCACTACTCGGTGTGTATTGTGCGTACCGCACTAGCTTCCCTAGAAAGTACCAGAATACGAAGATCAAGCGGTGTTCCCTCAAATAACTCACACTCCAGTGAGGGCTGAGAGACAAAACCCAACTAAACATGATGCAGGGAGTGCCACAAAGGAGGGAGGCACAGTAGCAATGGGAGCAGGGGGCAGAGGCCCAGTTCGGCCTGAGGCAGGGTGAGGAGTGGCTCCCTGAGGGGCACGTGCCTGCAGTAAGGATGGATGAGCGGGCAGGTGGCATTGGGGAAGGCGAGAGAAAGAGCCCAGCTGAGGGTTCAGAGTCAGCGTGCAATCTGCCGACAGAACTGCAAGCGCATCGGCTGCAACCGGGGTCAAGTGTGTTAAAAGAAGAACGACGAGGGATGAAAGCAGACAGATCCCAGAAACTCTGGTCATGCTGAGTGGTCTGAACTTTATCTTGAAGGCAATAAGGGACCAATGATAGATGTTTGGTGAGGGGGTGGCGTGGCCAGATTTGCATATCAGAAGGACCACTCTCGAAGCCACACGCAGGACCATGGCAGGGAGGCCAGTCAAGGGGCTGCTGAGGGAATCCACGTGGGAAGTGATCTGTGCCTGGGCTCAGAGTCACTATGGCCATGGAGAAGGTTCCAGAACCATCAGGCTATTAACTCTCCGGGACTTGGCTGAGGTGGCAAAGTTGAGGGAGAGGGAGGAGCCTAGAGTGACCCCAGGCCTGGGCAGCTGGCAGGGTCATCTCAGCAGTGTGAGATGCTGCCGACCCACCCTTTGTCTAGGGGACTCCAAGTCTCATGGGTCAACTGTGCGGATGCCAGCAGCCTCCCTCTCCCTACTGTGGGCTCCTTGGGAGGCATCCTCAGCACCTCCTCCCTCCATTCACCTTTCATTCTGATGGTGGCTGCACCACTGCTGGCTTCACTCCCTGGGCTGGGGCCCCTGGACTCACCGGGTGCAGGGATTGTAACGACGGGGCCCTGGAGTGTGACGCCAGGCCAGGCACGGCGGGCTGCAGCTGCTCCACACTGTAGCTGCGGGACTTGCCCAGCTTGGGCCGGGAACTCTGGCCAAGGGCTGAGAAGAGCTTTTTCAGCCCCAAGGTGGAGGCGATGCTGCTGCTCCGTTTCTTGTTCTGGTCCAAAGGGGCAGCCAAGGGGGAGCCAGGTCCTGTGTCAGCCCCTGCTGATGCTCTGAAACACAAGGGTGGAGGTGAGGGGGCAGGGGAGGACCGGGAGGGTGGCCAGGGCAAACTGTACCCTGGGGCCATCTCGAGGGCCGCAGATGGGCCAGCACCAATGCCTCTGGCACATTTGGGGCCAGGAACTGAATACCAGGCGTAGAAAGAAAGGTCAAGTGGAAGCCGGATGTGGTGGCTCCTGTCTGTGGTCCCAGCTACTTGGGAGATGGAGGCAGGAGGATCACTTGAGCCTGGAGGTCGAGGCTGCAGTGAGCTGTGATCACGCCACTGCACTCAACCTGGGCGACACAGTGAGACTCCCCCAAAAAAAAGAAAGAGAAAAGGAAGAAAGAGAAAGGAAGGAAGGAAGGGAGGGAAGGAGGAAGGGAGGGAGGGAGGAAGGAGGGAGGGAGAGAGAGAGAAAAAAGGAAAAGAGAAAAGAAAAGAAAAGGAAAGAAAAGGAAAGGAAAAGAAAAGAAAAGAAAGACTGCCAGATACTCTGCTTGGGTTGCTTTTGGGGACAATAGCTCAGGCAAGCCGCCTACCATAACACTCAGCTAAGGGCCCACCCAATCATTCATTCAGTATATATATTTTTTATTTTTTGAGACAGAGTCTTGCTCTGCTGCCCAGGCTGGAATGCAATGGCACCATCTTGGCTCACTGCAACCTCTGCCTCTCAGATCCAAGCTATTCTCCCACTTCAGCCTCGCAAGTAGCTGGGATTGCAGGCGCACACCACCATGCCCGGCTACTTTTTGTATTTTTAGTAGAGACAGGGCTTCACTATGTTGACGAGGTTGGTCTCGAACTCCTGACCTCAAGTGATCCACCTGCCTCATCCTCCCAATGTGCTGGGATTACAGGCATGAGCCACTGTGCATGGCCCATTCATTCAACATTTCTTAACGGCCTACTATGTGCCAGCCTCTTCTAGGCCCTGGGGTGTGTGTATGCAAGACAAACAAGGTGCCTACTCGCAGGAGCTTATGAACAACAGACCAGGAAAACCAGGAGACCCGTCCCATGTGGGCGAAGCAGAGGGTGACCAGGCGCTTCTTTAAAATGGAGTGGTGGGGAAGGTCTCTCTGAGAAGAGGAGCTTTAAACTGAGAGCTGAGTGGCAAGAAGCAGCCAGGGCTGCCACGCCTGGAGGTGAGTAGTCCAGGTGCGGGGAATAGCTGGTGCCACAGCCCTGGGGCAGGAAGAGCTCTGCGTGTTTAAGAACAGGGAAGGCGGGCGGCAGTGGCGTCAAGCCTGTAATCCCAGCACTTTGGGAGGCCGAGACGGGGGGATCAGGAGGTCAGGAGATCGAGACCATCCTGGCTAACACGGTGGAAACCCCGTCGTCTTATTAAGAAATACAAAAACTAGCTGGGCGAGGTGGCGGGCGCCGTAGTCCCAGCTACTCGGGAGGCTGAGGCGGAGAATGGCGTGAACCCGGGAGGCGGAGCTTGCAGTGAGCTGAGATCGGCCCTGCACTCCAGCCTGGGCGACAGAGCGAGACTCGTCTCAAAAAAAAAGAAACAAAAAAAAAAAAGAACAGAAAGGGGCCAGGCCATGAGGCTTGGGTGTAGGTGATGAGAAAAGGGGAAGAGGCAGGACAAGATGAGGTCAGACAGGCAGGCAAGGCGAAGTCCACAAAGCAGGACCAGCCATAGCCGGGGTGTGAAGTCTACTCCAAGTGCAGGGAAAAACCATTGCATTCAGGGTTTTCAGTAGGAGAAGGACACCATTTAATCCAAGTTTTAAAAAGCGACCCTTGACTATTGTGTGGAGAAGGAAACGTAGGCGCAAGGGTGAAGGCGGAGAGCAGGTAGGGGCTACTAGAGTTGTATAGCAAAGAAGCCATGAGTTCAGGCCAGGAAAAGTGGTGGGAGGCAGGGGTTTCCGGAGCTGGCAATGACTGGCAGAGGGCTGCGGTGGGAGAGAAGGAAGAGGAAGCAATCCAGGACTCCTGGATTCAGGCTTGTGCGCTGTGCAGACAGACAGTGACGTGTTTGCAGGGAAGGGGACATGGGGGAAGCAGTTGCTGAGCTTTCTGTTTGAGGGGCCCATCAGACCCCCTAATGGAGATGTCCAGGAGAAACTGAGCATGCAGCTCTGAAGTTCTGGAGAGCAGATGGCACTAGGGATGGAGAGTTGGCTCTGGTGCCTCTTCAGGCCTAGAGCTGCCTGCAGCCACCAGGCATAGTGTGTCACAGGGAAGAGAAGGCCCTGGCCAGAGCTCCGGGTTCACCAAGGCTTTGAGGCAAGTTAAGGAGGTCCCAAAGGGCCAGGACTCAGCCCCCACCCCACCACCCCGCGCCAGCGCCGAGCTGAAGGAAAGAAGGAAAATGTGACTGCTGGGCTCCCTTTCCTCAACATCTGGTTACTTTCAAGCATCCAAGCGCAGAGCAGAAGCAGAAGCAAGCCCATCCTGGGCCCTTCCCCAGGGCTGGGGCTCTGCTAGCTTTGCCCCAGGAACTGGCACAGTGTCTGCAGCTAGAGGCCGTTCAATGGATGCCTCATGAATGAATGAGCAGGTACATCAGACTAAACGACACTGGGAGAGGAGTGAGAGGGCTGCCAGGCTTGTTCACAGTCTAGGGAGCCTCTGAGGACTAGGAGCAGTGAGGTGGGTCATGCCACCACTCCAGGGGGTCTCTCCCCTCCCAGAGCCCCCATTTCCACCTCCTTCTGCAGTCTGGCTCTTTCTCCTGTCACTCACCTTGACAGCACATGTCCTCCAGATCCCGACCCTGTCCTCTGCAGGCTTCCCTCTGATTCCTGGCTGGACTCTGGCTCCTCTGAGGACAGGGAGAGGGTGATGCCCGTGGAGTTGATGGTGGCAACATCTGCTGAGCCGGGAAAGCCCTGGGGTCCTCCTGAAACAAGCATAGCATCCCACCTGAGTCATACCAGCTCATCCCACAGGTCCTGTGGGGGAAAGGGACATTCCCAACAGGGGGAGGGTGAGAAGAAGCTGGAGAGGCAGAGCCCAAGGAGAGCAGTGGAGAGACCTGGGAAGCAGCAAGGGAAGGTGGAGTGGCCTCTTAGATGACCAGGCCTGAGGACCCCTCGTGAGTGTCCTCGAGGCTGGAAACTATTTGAGGACACGGACTGAGTCTTGTTGACTGCTGTAAGCTCATCACCCAGCACAGCATCTAGTCTACAGTAGATGATCACTGTTTGTTAAATGAAAGGGTTGACTGTGATAAGCCATGTCCCTTCCATATCAAGGGACATAGTGGGAGCAGGGGAAAATTTTGTATTCCTGGGACAAAACCCACAATCTTGTCAGTTGTGATTTCTAAGAGCTTTAAAATAGCCATCATTTCTGGAGATCTATTATGTGCTAGGCAACGAGTGGAATCCTCTCCAGAGATGAGTTCACGGGGCCCTAGGAGATGGTGCCATCATCGTCCTCACTTTACAGAGGAGGATGCGGGCAGGCTGAGGGATTGAGGGAGTCACCCAGGGCCTCACTCGCTCTGCTTCAAGCTCCGAGGTAAAGGCTTGGGCTGCCCAGAGAGGTCAGCAGGTCTCAGAAGGGAAGCCCTGCAGGAAGTGGTTAGGGGCAAGCCCACAGCCTGCCCAGAGCCCACCAGAGAAGGAAACTGTAACTCAGCACAGGGTGGGAGGGACCCCAGGGGGAGGGAGTTGCCTCAAGGTTTGTGTAAGCAAGGGAGGGAGAGGGACCAAGTCTGTGTGTCCCCATGCAGTGGAGGGGACTTTGCATCCACATCCTCAATAAGGTCTGTCATCTCTCTGCCCTCTCTCCCTCCACTCTGTTGCCAAGCCCTGGGTCCCTCGAGCCATCCCAGCCCCAAGACTGTCAGAGCCGTGGGCACCTGTGGAGTGAGCCTGTTATCTCTGCCTAAAAGTGAACCGCAGAGTTGGTCATCTGGGATCACACTAGGGATCAGGGCCTGAGCCCGCCACCCCCCAGGATTCTCCCACAATATGAGGACCCCTTCCAAAGACAAAGTGGTGAGACCCACACCCTTCAGCAGCCTTGCCTGCTGAAACCTACTGCTCCACCAACAGGCCCAGGAGCCAGGGAGGGTCTGGTACCAGAAAGCACACTGCCTAGGAGCCCTGTTCCCTTGGTCACAGGGCCCTCCAGACAGCATGTCTGCCTGGCCACAGAAAGCCTCAAGAGCAGGGCTCCTGCTCAAGTATTCACATGTGCATTCCCCACAATGCCTAGTACAGTGCCTGGCACGTAACAGGTGCTCTGCCAATACTGAAGGAATGAATGAGTGAATGGAATGAAATGAAATGAAATGAAATGAAATGAAATGAAATGATGATGCTGAAGGGGCAGGGTCTCAGCCATGTGATTAGTGGGCATCTATTGTTCCAAACAAATAGTAAATCCTGGAACTGCTGCCTCTTTCTGCACTGTTGGGAGTAAATCCCTTAAAGCCCAGGCCTCTAGCAGCCATGCAGCTTGGAGCTTGGATCTTGGAACCTCAGGGTTCCCAACAGGAAGAGGATGTCTCCACCACCTTCCCCATGGTTCTGCCTCCCCCAGAAGGGAGTTGCTTAGTCTGCCTCCAGGCTGGCGGTCAATCCTGCGTCTGGCCTCTGCCAGCACCCCTGACACCTCAGAGTGGCTCCAAGGAGCTGCCGAGGTGGTGTGTGATGCTGCCATCTGACTATTGAGATAAAAGGAAATGACTCTGAAGGCCTGGGTGTCACAGGTCGGGTCTCGGCCTCTGCTCTAGAACCACACCAGGCCTGGGCTGGGCAGGAACGAACGGCAGCCCCTTACCATCTCTGCTGTTCTCCAGGGGCAGCTCCGGCTCCCGGCTGCAGGGGCCCCTCTCCACCCTACCCTCGTGGACGGCTCCCCCGTAGGGCTCCTGCAGCCCCCGAGGTGCGCTGTTGTTGCAGTTGTTGGTGGACAGGGCCAGGAGTGGGTGCCTGACCTGAGGGCAGCTGGGCTGGGTCTGTGATGGGGGCAGCTCACAGGTCCTGAGAATCGTGCTTCTTGAAGGAGGCCGGGGGATACCCACAGGTTCTCCCTGGTCACCCGGCCTGCACAATCCAGCCAGGGCTGCCTTCCTGTGAGACACCGGCGAGGTGGCCTTCCTTGAAGGGGGAGGGGTTGGCTCCCAGCCTTCAGGACAAAAGGAAACTGTTGGCTGCCGGGCTTGGTGCAGGGCAGAAGGCTCTGCATGGCTCTGTTGCAGGGAGGAAGGAAAGACAATTTCCAGGGACTCGTGGCTTTCTATAACCTGGGCCTGGCCTCCTGGCCCTGGTGATTCAGGTGTCATGGGGGAGGTGGTGGCGTAGGCTGTCCTGCATGGAGTCCGGGAATCCAAAAGGTGAGCCTGGTGACTTCCCAGCCGTGGTCCAGGCTGCCACTGGGGTCCCAGGGGCACCCGCTTCAACTCCAGGTCAGGAGGCTTAGGGACAGCATCTTCTCTCAAAAATAGAGTTTCCCCAGGCGTGTGTCCTCTGCCCTCCTTCACCTCATTTTCCACCTCCATACCATCAGCCCTAGGCAGGTGTTGCTGGGCCTGAAGGCCCCAAGGCAGCTCCACCTCAGCCTTCTTGGACCACCTGTGGCCTCGAGGCCTGGAGCCCCGCAGTTGCAGTCGCGGGCTGCTGCCTCGGGTCCGCCTACATGCCCCGCCAGCCTGAGCGGTCCCTGCCTCCTCACTGTCCATCCTGCAGCTGTCAGAGTTGTCTGTGCTGTCCAGGGCAGAATCTACCTCCGCAGGGCACACGATGTCTCCGATGTGTGTTTCCCGGATCCATTCCATGCGGAGCCCGGGCTCTGCAGGAAGGAGCCGGAGTGGGGAGCTCAGGCCACCCAGCACCCTCTCCATCCCACGGGCAGCCTGGAGCTCCTGGAGGGTCGTGGGGTCGGGGGACACCTTCCCCTGGGCGGGGTGCGGGTCGTTGATGCAGCTGCCGCAGGCCTGGCACCTCCTCTCGCTGCCCCGTGCCGGCGGCGCCGGGGGTCCTCCGCGGTCCAGGCTGCCCACAAGCCGGTGGAATGCCCCCTGCCCCGCGTCCCGGAGCCGGGGGGCCCCGTTGATGTAGTGGGCGAGGTCGGGCTTGGAGCGCAGGGGGCCTTGGTCCGCGGCCTGCAGCACGGTGCTCAGCACTTGGCGCTGGCGCTGCTGCAGCCGCTCCAGGTGGCGGAACTCGGCTTCGCGGGCCGACTCATCCTCAAAACGCACGTGCGACGGCGAGGGGCCCCGCCTCGGCCTCTGCCCGCCGCTGGACTCTCCGCTGGAGGAATCGCTCGTGTGCCCGTTCTGGAGGTTGTCTATGCAGGCAAGGGTCGTCCTGGGGTCCCGGGCTGGGCTTCTGTGGCCATCTCTGATGAAGAGACAGGAGGAGAGAGGTCAAGGGCAGAAACATGGGGAGGTATGGACACCCATCGGCCCTACCCCTCCACCCTGGGCTACAGTCTCCCACCGTGCTCTGTGGTAACCGCAACCCACAAGGTTACTCCAGAGCGGATTTCTGGGGCGTCTCCGCAAACCAGAGTAGCTTGCAAGCCCATCCTGTCCCTAACATAGCGCTAAACAAAACCAAGGCCACCTTCCCTGCTTTTGGCTTTGCCTCTCTTGCATGGCTCAGCCTGAGTTAAGATGAAACACTATTGAATGGGAATATGCTGAAGTCCTTACACGTGTGTGCTGGGGAGTTGGGGGCGGGGGCGGCGTCTGTGTGTGTGTGTCTGTTAGGGAGAGGAAGTGAGCCTGACCACCATGTATTCTTGGTAGTGATTGTGGAAATATGTATTTGCTATAATGCCGTCACGGGAACAGGATATTTTAAGTCTCCACTTAGAGGAGAGGCTGTGTGAGAACTGAAGTCAGAGAATTTTTTTTTTTTTTTTTGGCAGGATCTCTCTATGATGCCCAGGCTGGAGTGCAGTGACATGATCTTGGCTCACTATAGCCTCGACCTCTGGGGCTCAAGTGATCCTCCCACCTCAGCTTCCCAAGTAGCTGGGACCACAAGTGTGCTTCACCATATCTGGCTTATTTTGGTTATTTTTTGTACAGAGGAGGTCTCACTATGTTGGCCAGGCTGGTCTCAAACTCCTGGGCACAAGTGATCCTCCCACCTCGGCCTCCCAAAGTTCTGTGATTACAGGTATGCACCACTGTGCCCAGCCTAAAGTCAGGGTTTCTAAGCAATTGCTCCTGAAGTTTCCATGCAGGGTTCCACATCACCTTGCTTACGCAAAATTCAGACAAGGCAACGGTGATGTTTCTCCTTGGCTCCTGAGTCTTGACTGTTCCAACCCCACTCCAGGCACTGCCCCTCCCCAGCCCTCACACATACTCTTGTCCTGCTTTTGTGGGGGATGGCACTGCTGTGCTGGGGAGTCTGCCCACGTGTCATCCACTTTGGCTCTGGGAGACACTGTGGCGAATAGTCAAGTCCTGGTCAGTTCTGGAAGGCACCTACACACATCTCACACCACGGCCTCGTGGAGCCAGGTCACCGGAGTTTCAGGCCACTATGAAAATGGACCCAGGACCATAGGCCATTTTCTATCAGAAGGGCACCCAAGTAAGAACCATAGTTCTCCCTTCCTTTTCCTGGCAGGGGCCTCCCCACCAATCCACTGCTAAGTGTTGGGATTCCATTTCCTGTTTCTTTCATTTATCACTTCTTTATCACTCACACTGGACCCCTGCAGTGGCCTCTTATCCAGCCTCTCCACTACCTCCTGTCTGTAGATCCAACTGAAGCACAGCCTTTATTTTATCACACCAACCCAGAAGAGGCCACAGGGTCAAGTGCATACACTTTGGAGGGAAAATGCAGGCCCCCCACATTCCTTCCTGCTTCCTCTTACGCTCCTGGGCCTTCAGGGCCTCCAGGCCTCCTTCCCTGACCTCATGCAACCCTCCTGCCTCATTTCCTGGATCTTTCTTCTTAGCCTACTAGCATTTGACTTCTATTTATTAGATGCTGAATGCTCACTGGAATGCAAAAGGCAATGGGCAACTGGGGCTCCACACCTGCGCCTACCCCTGACTCGTCATTTCCCCCCATAAGCACTGCTCCAGGACGAAATTTTTTTTTAAAGAAGAACTCCTGCTGGGCAGGCGCAGTGGCTCACGCCTGTGATCCTAGCACTTCGAAGGCCGAGGTGGGCAGATTGCTTGAGCTCAGGAGTTCAAGACCAGCCTGGGCAACATGATGAAACCCTGTCTCTACTAAAAATAGAAAAAAGTAGCCGGGCGTGGTGATGCGTGCCTATAGTCCCAGCTACTTGGGAGGCTGAGGCATGAGAATTGCTTGAACCCAGGAGGCAGAGGTTGCAGTGAGCCAAGATCGTGCCGCTACACTCCATCGTGGGCAACAGAGCAAGACCCTGTCTCAAAACAAAACATAACGAAACAGAAAAACACACAAACTCCTGCTAAGCAAGAAGATCTGCCTGCTTTGAGATTTCAGCAGATCCTGTGCTTAAAAAGGCTGCTCTGGGGAACACTGAAGAGGTGTTGGTCAGCCTGTTTGCTGGAACTCACATTCAGCCATGGCTACTCATTCATCAGGCACAACAGCCGCTATGCTGAGGACCCACAATATGGACAGGGGCCCAGGACAATGTTGTAATTTCTTTTAAAATCAGAAGAAAATAAATTTTTGGGTCAAAGAAAACATTTTAATATAGAATGACGTATTTACCTTTCAACCAGCATGGTCATGAAATATATATTTTTTAATGTTTTTGTATGGAGCAAGAGGCCCATGAAGGCAAAAGTGCCTAGGGCCCCCAAAAGTCACATCGCAGCCCTGCTTTCAGAGGGGCCTTTGTAGCTACGTAGGCTATAAGATATGTGGGCTAGTGAGCAGGACGCCCGTTGCTGAAGACGGTGCAGGATCTCACTACTCATCTCAATACGGCCGTGGGGAGGCCCCACTGAGATTAATAACTGTGGTGGTGATGATTTTCTGTTGGGGATTGTAAAGCGCTGGGACTCTGAGCCCCGGAGAGCCCACGCGAGGATTCTGGGCCCTATCTGCACTTGTATCTAGGTCAGCTGTGGGGTCCCTGTTCATGTGGCACTCACGGTCAGCTCTTCAGAAGCACGCTTCCCTCCCCATAGCCCCCGAAAGGAAGACTCCATCCAGAGAAACAGCCTCCCTCACCCCCACCCCAGAAACAGGAGGTTCCCTGCTGAGCAGATGCTTTACCCCCACTGCACAGAAAGGATCCCTTCCCAGCCCGGCCGACCCAATGCAGGGAAAGGCCCACGGGGAGATTCTGCACATAGGTTCACACAACAACCCCTCCACAGGTCCCAAGAGCTAGTGCCCTGTCTGCTGGCAGGACGTGGGCTGTAATTTCTAGGGAGGAAAAGAGCCCAGCTTTAAAGGCAGTGCGGTCCTAATCTAACAAAGGAGCCCAGGTCCCATGAGCCACATTAGTGGTCTTAACTTTCACACACAGGATGGTGAGCAATCCTGGAATTCACTGCAGAGGCAGACATTTTTGTTCTAAAAAGAGAAATTAAGGAGTGCTTAATCACATAAGATGCTTTCAACTCAATTATTCAAACCCAGAAGCCCCCACCAGCAGTGTCAGCAACAGTGTGTAAAGGCAGGATGAGGATTTTGGAGACAAGTGCAGGACAAATGAGGCAGCTAAGCGGTGAGCAAATCCCATGCCTGCCAAGTTCTCAAGGTGACGCTCCACAGAGGCCCCAGCAGTCACTCCTGTAGGGGAGGATCCCACCACAGTCCTGGAGACATATGGCTTCACAGGGACCCCTTTCCAGATTCCCTCTTTCCATAGCATTGCTTCCCTAACCATACAATCAATGTGATGTACGCAAGCTCTGCAGTCTCAACACAGCCACTCTCTCTGACCTGGGACAGTACCACTTACAGTGTCACCTCTCAGCCCTGCCTCTTGCTGACATGTCCTGTCCTCCTGCCAACAGAAACACCAATCTAGGCATGTCTAGCCCCTATATGGCAAGATCTTGTGCTTCCAGGAGCTGCTCCATTTCTGTATTATTTCCAGAAAAATGCAGCTGCTGCTACCTCTTCACCTCCTGGAATCCCTGTCTGTTCAGGCTTGCCCCAGCTGCCTCTAGCCAGACCTAGGGTAAAGAAGGCCCTCTGAGACAGCTCTGCCTGCCCCTCCTCTTCCATCACCTTTCACCAAGCGGCTCTTTAGAAGTGATGCATCTGGGCTAGGGATGGGGCCTCCTGCATCTAACTGAGACCTGGGGCCTGTGTGCCATTGCCATGTTAACTCAGCATGGCCCTCCAGGGTGATCTGACAGAGCGTAACCTTTAGAAGCATCTGCAGCAAGCCATCTGGCGTTGATTTTTCAGCTATACCCTCTGAGGATTCGCCAGCGCTGCCAAGTCATAGTAATTCTTTTCTGGACACGGCAGCTGCTAAAGTGGGTCACCTTGCAATTCTATAGCATTTCTATGGCCTGGAGACAGCCTGCAAAAGGGAGCCTACTTTAAAGTTAGTGATTGGGGTTGTTCTGAGCTGTTAAAGTGATCTGAGGAAGAAGTGTCCAAGAGGACCTTTACACAATGCAATCTGTTTTGTAGATAGTCTTGACTATTTTGAGGCTATCCGACCTAACCTAAATGCCTCTACAAAGCACAACAGGAGAATTGCTTGGAAGTCTAAGGTTTCTCACCATATGTATGTGAAGAAGAAGAATAGTTAGGATGTCCTGAAGAAGCCATGCCCGTTCTTTTTTTTTTTTTTTTTTTTGAGACAGAGTCTCACTCTGTCGCCCACACTAGAGTACAGTGGTGTGATCTCGGCTCACTGCAACCTCCGCCTCCCAGGTTCAAATGATTCTCCTGCCTCAGCCTCCCGAGTAGCTGGGACTACAGGAGCCCACCATCACGCCCAGCTAATTTTTTGTATTTTTAGTAGAGACAGGGTTTCACTGCATTAGCCAGGATGATCTCAATCTCCTGACCTTGTGATCTGCCCGCCTTGGCCTCCCAAAGTGGTGGGATTACAGGCATGAGCCACCGCACCCGGCCAACCATGCCCATTCCTAACGAGTACCCTCCATCTAGAGAGAGAGGCAAGGCCCAAAATGTGGAAATACAAGGGTAGTCTGTTTGGCATCCCTTGCCAGGGTTTAGGGTCTTCTGAGCCTCTCTTCTAAGGGTCACAACGACCTCTGCTCATGAAGGAGTCATCTCAGTGATTCCATAAAGGTCTTTAGCCTTTAATGAGCAGTTCGGCACCCTCCATCAAAGAGCAGGTGGTCCAGTTCCACCAAGATCCCTGCTCCCTAAGAACGCCTGCTCCCTCCAGTGCCACGTGGTGATTCAAACAGGCAGATGCAGCATGTCCGCCACGCCAATGAAGCCACAGACTTTGCTAGCTGCAGAAGTGGTCCTGCTTGGGCCTGGTGAGACCTGGCATAGCCTGGCAGCCTCATCTCAGGCCCAGGTGCATGACTGGAAGACAGCTCTGTGTGGTGGTGAAGTCCACGTGTAAGTGATTCTTCAAGGTGTACCATAGGCAGGAAGATGGGGATGCAGCGTGTTGCTCAGGGGGCAGTTATGTGTGTGATGTGCTGGTCTGAATGTCCTTAACCTTGTTGTTTTCCTACCTCTTCACTCCTGACAAGCTCACCCTTACCATGGCTGTAGCATTATGAAATCAGGGATGACGTCCAAATCTTCAGTTCTGATCTCTCCTCCTCTAAAGATCCTGTATCCAACTGCCTGGTGCTCATTTCCAGTGGATGTTCTGGAAGCACCTCTCCCTCCAATGCCTGACCCTGCACTGAGGCCTCGCCCCCACCAAACACGCAGACACCGAGGCAGAACCCTGGGCTCATTCCAGATTCCTCCCTTCTCACACCGCCCACACCCCTGCAACTAAATGAGAAGTGGTTAGAGCTCACAGTTTTTGCGTGGCGGGTGCTGTTCTAAACTTCATGTGTGTTAGCTCACGTCGCCCCACAGACCCTGTAAGACAGGCACTATTACAATTCCCATTTCGTGGGTGAGGAAACTGAGGCACAGAGACTTCCGCAGAGGCACCCAGCTAAGTGCCAGAACCAGAAGTCAAGCCCGCGTGGTCTGGCTGTAGGTGCTGCGCTCCTTTGTCGCCTCACTAAGCCTGCTTGCTTCTGGTGCTTGAGGTCTGTGTGAGGTCTCCAGACTCTCCTCTCTGTACCGCTCAGCATGGCCACGGCAGCATCCTCCTCCGCGCACCAGTCTCCCAGATTCAACACATCTCGCCAGCTAGAAAGGCATCACTGAGGTGTGATCGTGCTGCCCCCTGCCCAGAGTCCTCCAGCGGCTCCCAGATATTGCAGCAGACATCCAGTTGTCCAGCTGTTCTGCAGGCCTGGAGGCCTCCATGACCTGGCCCAAATGAGCCCTCCAGCCTTCACGCCACAGCCTGCACATTCTTACCCTCTAGCCTGGCTGAATTCCTGAGCACAGCACTTCTGCTCAGTTTCCATCCCCAGGACGCTTACCCTTGCCTCTCTCATCTACCCAGTGCGTATCTACACCTCCGTCAAGCCTCAGCTGAGAAGTCATCTTCTCTCAAGAGCCTCACCTGTCCTTTCCAGGTGGAGTTAACAGTTTCCAGCTCAGCATACACATTTTTCCTCTCTTACACCACAGTCCACAGAATTGAATATCTCTTTGCCTCTCTCCCTGGAGACTGTGACCTCCATCCCCCTAGGGATCCAGATCATGTTTCATTCATCTTTGTATCTCAGTGCCTGACTGCAGGCCCTCAGGAAAGGTGTGTTGACTGACTAAATAATCAAAGCAAGAACCTTATATGGAAAACACACACACGCACAAGGAGTGAGCAGCGGCATTTGGCTAGATCCTACTTCTTCCCACTGCTGACTCTTCCCTGCTATGGCCCTCCCAGGCTAGCCTGGCCCAGGTCCCACTCACCGGCTGCCCTGGGTAATGGTGGGCACGATGTCATGGCTGGCACGGAGGGGCCGGGTCCTGGCCTTCATGCGGGCACGCTGCAGCAGATGCGTGGCTTCCTCATGCCTGGGGCTCAGCACAGGCTCCGGCTTGGGACCAACGGTCCTGCAGGGTGGCACACAGGCCAGGGTGGAGAGGGAGGGATTAGAAGAAAATAATGCGGATTAGGAGGGCTTTAGCAGTGTTAAGCACTGGCTCTGCCAGAAAAAGCGCTGCATGTGCAGCCTTCCTCCTCTAGCACCCACGCACAGGGAACCCAGCCTGGGGGCCTGGGGCCTGGGGCCTGGGGCTGGAAAATGGCCCTGTGTGGCTCTGGATGGGGGCTGGGGAGCCAGCCTGGCCTTGGACATCTGCTCAGGCACTGGAGGCAGAGACCTCAAGAGAATCTAGAAAGGGTGGGAGAGTCTCCAGATTATTCTATTGTTCCTTCCCCAGGCAGACAGCAGGAGCTATCTGGGAGGAGGAGGGAGAAAGGGCTTGGGGTTGTTGGGCTGGGCCTGTGCCCAGACAGATGGTCTCTCCACGCATCACCTCTCTCTCCTTCTGTCTCTCTGCACCCACACACAGCACCACACTAGTTCCCCCTGCAGATGCAGAGAATCAGGGCTCTGTCCAGCATAGATTGGGCCCTTTGGGGGAATGGCATTTTTATAAATCCTGGTGTTTTCTTGCCTTAGTCCCAATCCAAAACCATTAGGCACCAGCTCAGGGCTCACAGGCTCAGGGCTGAGAGACATTAAGCTGGACCCAAACCAAGTCAGCAAATGGCTTGATTTTCGTAATAATAAGGGTCCTCCACTAGCCCCCACCCCCTACCAGATGTGCTGCCTCCCTGGCCAGTCCAGAGTTGCAGAAAATGACAGCAGTCCTTTTTCAAAGCTGTCTCTCAGCCACTGACACACAGCCTGCGCTGGGTTACAGCTGTAACAGCAACCCACAATCTCCCACTGACAAGCCGTCGTTCTCCACGGAGCTTGCTCTCCACAGCCAGGCTGGCCGAGGGCAGGTGTTCTCTCCACTTGACAGATGAGGGTGTCCAGAGCAGAGAGGAACACTGGCACATTGTTCAAGGTCGAACCGCAATTGCAAGCTGAGCAGAGCACACGACAGCCAGCCCACTGCCTCCAGCGTCGTTTCGCACCCTCTGTCCCCTCCCGCCTTGGGTCTCAGGGCAGGCAGAGGATGTTTGTGGCTGGGGGCAGACACGCTCTTCGGGGTAACTTCATCATCCCCACTGGCTGCCCCTGTCCTCACCGTCACATATGCTGGGCTGTCCTCAACAGTGAGGGTCCACAGGGCTCCAGCAGGTCCTGATCTCAGACCTGCAGCCCCTCACCCCCCCCTGTATTCCACATGAAAAAGGGGGCCTGGTCCTGACCAGGGGAAGGGCCCAGGCAGTTTTCTTGGATGACAGAGATGTGAGTGGAAATGGCACAGCTCTGAGGCCTCCAAGGAGGGCTTCCTTGGACATCCTTGGACAAACTCTGGGCAGACTCTGATTTCTTTTCTTGTTTCCTTTTCTTTTTCTTCTCACTATTTGCATCGAACCCTGCTTTGAGGCCGCTGGGGAGCAGGAGGAGACTGCTAGAAGAAAGGCACCATCTGTGCCTGTGAACCCTGGCAGGGCCCAGGCATGGCTTTGGAACAAGGAGGGCTTTACTGGAGTGATGTGAAAGCGAATCTCCAGGCCCGCTGCCCCATGAAGCCTGCTTTGGCAGGAGAGGCCTCCCTCTGCACAGCTTCCCGAGCAGACAGCTCCTCCAAGGTGGCTGAGAGCAGCTGTGCTCCCTGGGGCTCTTGCTCCAACAGCAGAGATAATGAGGTTACCAGCCCGGAGAGGCGCTCCTGCAGCCGTGGGCCTCTGGCTGCCAGCCCGCACACTCGGAGCCTTCCGGTGACAGCTGTGGTTCCACGGCTGTCGGAGGGCATTTGTCACAAGACTTGGTGGGCAGGCAGGAGGGCGCCCAGGCAGCTGGCCAGATGCTGCCAGGATCAGCCTTGCCCCCAGGTTTTTAAGCCATTTTCCAGCTTTGCTATTTCCTTTCTGCTCCCTCCTCTTGGAGCTGTTACTTTTTTTTTTTCTCTCATCAGCTGTCTTGCTTCAGTTCCTGGCAGACAAGCTGGTTCTCCACTGATTAGAAAAGCAGGGCTTTTTAGGCGCCTGGAGGCATCCATGCAGTACCACACTGAGCACAGAGGAGTGGCAGTCACCTTCACAGCCTGCAGCCAAGGTCACTGTGCACCCTGGGGAAGCGGGGGCCTGACCAGCCCTGTGGAGAGAAGGTGGTCTTCCTCTGAGGCAGGGAGTAAGCAGGAGAAATGGGGTGGGTGCTGAGTCTGTCCCGTCTCACTGCCCACCTTCAGCTCCCACAGTTGCTCTGGAAAATTCCTAGAAGGGCTGGGGTGGTCAGTGCCATGGCCAGGCAAAGGCAGTTCCCACCTAAGAATAGACGGCTTTTGCCACTCTCTTGAAAGCCTGCACTTCTGGAGCTCATTAGCTCAGAGGATGGAGCATAGGAATAAAGTGGCTGAGTGCTTTTCCTCCCTGGGCCTCAGTTTCCCCAGCTGCAAGCAGTGGGGACTGGAGAGGGGAGAGGATTCACATTGCTACCCTGTGAGCCCAGATCTTTGGCCACATAGTCTGATATGCCATAAGGTGGGGTATGGGATTTCGAGGTTCCCCCCTTGGGGGAGGTCCCACAACAGATATTTGGCCCCCACCAAGTGGCAAAGCCTGTAAAGAGCTCATTGTTGAGGAAAACTAGAGTTCCATTAGCGTATGCTGGCCCTTCCCCCACCCCTCCAGCCACCTGTGTCCTCCACTGGTTCACAAGGACAAAGGGCGGCGTGCGGTCCCCTCCTGCTCTGGGTACTCCCGTCTCGGCCAGTTTCCTGGTGGAGGGACAGGCTTAGCTATGGCTTTGCTCTCCCTCCAGCCAGCTGGGGCAGGAGAACCACCATTGCTCTCCTAGCCAAGGAGGTCAAGGGGACAGAGTGGCCTTCTTCTGCAGCCATCAAAATCCTGGATTAAAATAATAAGCTCAGCGAGTCTGTGTTCAACCCTTTCAACTCAGGTACATGGATGGAGAAATCATTGGGAATATACAGGGATCTGCCGCTTCCCAGGTTCCAGGATGCACCCAGTAGAGGGAGAATATGGAGCGTACAGAACATAGATAAACTTTTCTACTTAGCATTTGTTCCACGTTTGCGTATTTGAAAGCTTTCTGATGACCATGGATAGAGCTCTCCTACTGTGATTCTGTGTGCAATTTTCTGAATGAGGGGAAGTGGAAAAGGTGCACCTGGAACTGGTTCTATGTCATGTGCTCCATGAGGGCAGGGACCTAGCCTCAGACTGTCAGCTTGGTTGCACCGGTCCCTTCTTCCCAGGTCTGCAGGACATGGACAGGACACAGCCTAGAGTGGCGGGGAAGTGTGTGGCTTGGGGGCAGCCTGCCTGGGGTTCTACCCTGGACAGCCACTTCCTAGCTGTGTCACCCTGGCAGGTTACTTAGGAGTTCAGCCTCAGTTTCCCTATCTGCTAAATAAGGGCCCAGTTGTTAAGATAAGTGAGAGTGGCTCCTTTAAAAGAGATGAGCACAGAGCTGGGCTCTTGGTAAGAGTCTGTAAATGTTAGCATTTATTATCATTATTTTATCATTAGCACCATTGTTTTGTGAAATTACTCTCACCCCCTTACTAAGCAAAGGATGGAATCCCCGAACATGTACTAAAGTCACCTGCAAAGAGATCACCTTGTCATCAGCAAGGAGAAGGCATATTTGAAGTGACAAACACCATCTTGTAGCTGGAGGGGGCCTGGTGGCTCTGCTCTGGACTTTGAAAAGCCTTTGACAGGGCTCCATAGAAAAGGTGGCTTCCATAGGATAGAAAACAGGAGGTGGCCGGCTGGTCGTGGAGGAAAGCTGACTCCCAGACAGGCAATAGGCCCTCCTGTCAATGGAGAAGGAGGAGTGGGAGTCCTTAGGAACGGCAGCTGGGAGAACCCACCTCCTGCAACACCTTCGAAAGGATCTGCGTGGAGGCCTGCGGTGTGCACCTAAGGCGCCGACTTCCGAGGACAGCAGAACCACCCTGTTCCTGCCTTCCGGAAGATGAACAGATTCCCTGCTGAGCCCCAGAAGGAGGCTTCGGGCTGCCCCTTTGGTGAGAACCTCCTGGCCTCAGGTGTGGGACCTGGGTGGCCACAGAGGAGGCGGGTGTCTGAGATGCCCTCAGATGGGGGACCAGTGGCCTATTTAACTCTGGTGGGCAGGGGAGAGGCTTTCCTTTCCTAGAATTTCAGATGAGCTCCCACAAGTTGAATGGCCTTGGGTAAATGGACTTTCTTGAGCTCCTTGATTGGTCAAGATTGGGACCATCATGAGATTTTTCATGTGTGGTGTGTATGTGGGCGTGGCAATGACGCAGCATGGGACAGGGTATCTGGAGGCTCCAGGTGGCACTGGGTTTGTGGTAGGGCTTCCTTCTCCACCCAGGGTCAGACACTGGGAGCGTGTTAAGTATCCGAAAACATTGTTGAGTGGTTACATTTAATTTTTTCTTTTGCTTTAGTCTCGGTGGGACTGGGAGTGGTAAGGGGGCTTTCCTTTGTGTGTGTGTATCAGTGGGGTGGGATGGGAGCTGGGGGTGGTAAGGACAGGCAGGGGCTCAGCCGTTCTTGGTTACACCCATGCCCTGGGGTGTTCTCAGGCACCTCTATAGCCCTGGGCATGCTGGGGTGGTGCCAGAGTGTCTCTTCTCCTGCACTCAGCCGGGACTCCCCATGCCTCCTTGCTGAGTCCTCACTCACACTCTGTACTACGTGCCTCTGTCAGACATTTCTGAGAGCCTTTTCCCTGCACACACTTGCAGGCACTGGGTCCTGGAGACAACAACAGCACAGTTCTTGCCCCAGGAGCTCAGGGAGGAGATACACCAGTGCCAGCTATGGCTGCAGCCGGTGCAGGGCACAGTGAGAGCAAAAGTGACCAGTTCCATGTGAAATTGTTCTGGATCACACCCAGTGGCCGGCTCGCAGGGGAGCTCTGTGCTTTTGTGATCTAATAAATATGGATTTGATCCCTGCTCTTGGCGCCTGG